TGGCACATAGTAGGTGCTTAATAAATATTTACTGACTAATTTGACTTTCCAAACTAGTGCACTACAAGACTTTTAAACAAATAGTTCATATTAAAAGTAATGCTGTTTGACACAATTTAAAAAAACGCACAAACAAACCAGAAACTCTTCACTCTATTAGTACCACCACCACAACCTATCCCAGTTACTGTTGAGGTCCTGGGTATTTCTGAAAACAGATACAAAAGAAAAAATGTGGTTCCTTGAGTCATCACAGAAGCAGTGACTTCATTATGCAGTTTGTTGCCCTGTGTTTATTATAAAGTCTTAATGTCACAGTATCCTAAGTTGAAAAGAGAAGCATAAGAAAGTTGTATCAATATTAAAGGAAAAAATAGCTATTTGCACATACCTGCAAAAAGGTGAGACTAGGAATGGTCTGATGCAAGAGCACAATGTTGGCTCGCCCACAACACAACATAAAAGCCTGGAAGCACACATGCTCAAATCATTCACTGATTCACAGTCAAATAAAGTGACTGAATGGCTCTGGCCTACACCAAAGCCAGAGCAGTTAGACTGTGCTGGATCTAAACGGTTTTTATTGCAGTTGGACAGGGCCCCTGTTTCTGGCTCAGTGTTGACTGCAAAGGTAAGAGAACTGGATAAGCAAATGCAGCTGACAGAGCCTTGTGAATGTGTTCAAGCTCACCGTGGCATCAGCCAGCTAGACAGATGAGGCGAAACAAAAAAACAAAAAAGTCTGACCAAGAAGCAGCAGAAAGACTTTTGGGTTTTTAAACATTTAATCGGTAAGTACGATCCTCTGAACTAATGTACAATGCTGATGAAACAGTGCTGTCCTGGACATGTTTGCCAAATGATATCCTTCCAGAAGCCAGTGAATCTGGGAAGACTTTGGTATTGTTTTCAATGAAGATATGCTGCGTGCAATGTTGGGCTCAAATCTTACAGGCTCACAATAAGCTCCACTGTGTAGTCTAATGACTGGAACATGAAGTCCTGAAGCTTTCAGAGGGAACAAATGTTTATTTATGGGATATAAGGTGTGAAAGTATATGAGAAAGCTTCTTTTCACATATTTAATATATAATGATAATTATTTAAGATCATTTGAGCCCCAATAAGGGCCAAAGCCTGAACTAATCAGCCAGAAGAAGCACCCTGACATAATAGATGCTTTGCTCTACGCTCTGAGTAAATCCAGAATGCCCCTTCCTGTGTCAGCAGCTATAGGCCTGGATGAGGCTGACCAGGAGCATCTTCTGTTTGTGACCACAACAGGATGCCTGGGACCGAGCACCATCTTGAATAGTGGGACTTTTTCTTATCTTGGTATCCTATGGACATATGCTGTGCAGAGGAAACACAGACATCCCAGGATTGTAATTTCAATAGACACTTTGTCACTTCTTTTATCTTCTTGTATTTACAACCTACTCAACTAAGAAACTTCCTTTCTCATGCTATTGTTAAAAACATGGAGGCTATCATTTTTGACATCCTGATTCAGGATTGCTCTAAGAATATAAAATATCTTCCTCAAATTGCTTATCTGAGTCAGAATTATCTTCTGGCTCCCGTCAATTACATGTAACCTGCTACCTTAAGGGAATAAACAATATAAATATATATCACCTAGCTTGTTTTGCCTCTTTTAACCAAACTTCCAGGTTGACAATAATAATAGCAGTCCTAGCTAACATTTATATAGTGCTTTCAGGTTTGCAAAGTTATTTGAATTTATTATCTTGTTTTATCCTCACGACAACCCTCGGAGACAGATGATATTATTGTCATCCTCATTTTACAGATGAGGAAAATGGGACAGACAGAGGTTAAGTGATTTGCCCAGGGTCACACAGCTGGTAAGTGTCTGAGGCTGGATTTGAATCCAGATCTTCCTGACTCCACATTTAGCAATCTACTGTGCTACTTACCTGCCTCATTACCCTCACTTTGGGGGAAAAAAAAGTGATGTTAATGGTTTTGTACCAATAATAAAAAGAAACATTAAAAAATAGTTTTTCATCATTTTAAATGTATACTTAGTATATGTTTTATGATATGCATAATACATTTGTTTTTATTCATCAGTCATTTTTCAGTTGTGTTTGACTCTGTGACCTCATTTGGGGTTTTCTTGGCAGAGATACTGGAATGGTTTGCCATTTCCTTCTCCAGCTTACTTTACAGATGAGGAAACTGAGCAAACAAACTTAAGTGACTTGTCCAAGATCATACAGCTAGGAAGTGTCTGAGGCCACATCTTAACTCAAGGAAGATGAAGTCTTCCTAACTCCAGGCCCCACACTCTATCCACTATGTCACCGAGCTGCCCTTAATATATTTGTACACGTATATACTTTAGAAGTAAACACTTATGTATTAGGATGTATGCTCCAATATTTTTTTTTCACTGATGGGGGTGCACCATTAAAAAGGTTTAGAGACCACTGCTTTAAAGAACAGATTTAAGGTGGAGAGAAGAAACCACAGGTGGGTAAACTGTGAGGAGGCTGCTATTGCAATGACAATAATAGCTGCCATTTGTATAGTGCTAGGTTCTCTATAGGAAAGCTAACTCAGATTCTGATGAAGGAGACAAAAACTTCCAACACACAAGACCTTAACAAGGGGAAAAAAGCCTTACATATTAATAAAGCCATGTACAAATGTATTTGTGCATGCATGTATTTTACAGCAAGCAATATGAATTCTTTTACAATTCCCAGAGTGAGGGAATCGCAGCACTTCCAAAAGCAAACATATCCTCATACACATCATAAGAAAGGCTCCCAGACACCACAAAGCACCACACAAAACTAACTGGAGCTTTCACAGTTCAGCACGCCTCGCAACAGCAGGCGATGGCAAAGATGGCATGAGCGCCGAGCACTTGGCCGGGATGTTCTTAGAATTGAAGGAATTCATGGAAGGGGGGGTACAGCCAGGCTCTGGAAGCATTCATGAAAGCAGCCCTGGAGTCAGAGGGTCAGTCTGGGATTAAATCCTGCCTCTGACACTGTCAACAAGAATTTGGACATGGTCCATCATCTCCCTGGGCTTTAGTCTGCTCCAATGCAAAATAAGGGGGCTGGATTTGAAGGCTTCTTAGGTCCCTTCTAGTTCTATGGCCCTAAGTGACATTAGAAAGCAAAGACAAGACTTGCATAGCAGAAGGAGGCAAGACAGCCCCAGGTGGCTTAAGGGATGTTTTCGGAGTAGAAGGAACATGAGACAAAGGTTCAAAGTAAAGAGCCAATTGTCTCTAATGGTTTATACTTCCCAAGCTATATAGTCAGAGTAGAGTAAGGAAGAAGGGAGGGTGGGTGTCCATTAGTGTGGGGCTATTTCTACTACCAATAATCTAAGGCAGGCCTCCAATACCATCATTTTGGATTGTGGCAATAGGTTATTAACTAGTTCGTTCTCTAGTGCCTTCTCCAATCCATCACAAAAAGAGGTTGATTGGTGGCATAGGCATAGAAGACCTGAGTTCAAATTCAACTCGACACTTACTTTGTAACCTTCAGCAAGTCACTGAACTTTTCAGCCTGTTTCCTTATTTGTAAAATGGCTATAATAATAGCACTTACCTTACAAGTTGTTGTATCAAATGAAGCTGTGTATACATATGCATATATATACACATATATACATACATAAATGAAGCTGTACATATATGCATGTTTATATGTACATATAACAGCTCATTTACATATATAACTTGCAAGCCTTCAAGTACTACATAAACATTAGCTATTAACACATTCATCTTGCTTATGCTTAAATTTAATCATATCCCTTCCTCTGCTCAAAACCTTTTAGTGACTTCCAACTGCCTATCCAAAAAAGTTCAAACTTTTTAAGTCTTGGCAATCAGAGCCCTCCCTACTAAACTGGTATCATCATACCTTTTCATCTCATCCCCCCGACAGGATCATTATTGAATCATTAATGAATTTTTATGAAGTGCTTATTAAATGAAAGCACTGTGCTATGTGCTCAGCATTAAAAGACAAAAGTAAAATGACATCTTTATGGAAAAGAGCTGGAAGAAACTTTGTACTAAATGTGAGATTTCATTGGCTTGAGGAAATCTCAGTGTGAAAACTCCTTCCACCAATGAAGACTAGTGAACAATCTGCAATTTTAAACCTTAGAGAGTCACCTGAGGGATTAAGGGATTTGCCTGTGGTCAAACAGTCAGTTAAGTGTCAGAGATAAGAGTTGAAATCAAGCTGTCTTGATTCCAAGACTGACTTTCTACAGACTTATGCCACACAGTCTCTCAGAAATGACTCTAGGCATTACCTAATTTTCACTTTACAGATGAGCAGTACAACACCTACAGAGGTTAAATGACTTGCTCAAAGTCACATGGGTAGTAGGTCTGAGATTGGAGCCCAGTACCTGACTCTAGGTTCAGTGCTGTCTTCTACACTCTAATTGCTTTTCATACATGTGCTATCTTCTAGACAAATTAGATTATTCGTCAAGCCCCCCTAAAGCCCCATTCTGTCCTTCCTCCAGGATTTTGTCCAAAGTATTCCCTAAGCCTGTAACATCCTTCTCACTGCCATCTAAGTCTAATAAAATCCTACCATTTCTTTATATCACTGCACAAATAGCCTCTCCTCCATGAAGACTTCCCCAATCCTCAGTGCCCTCATCCCCTACCAGATAATATCTTTCCCTACTTGGAATTCACATACTTCTTACTGTACATCTCATACAATTATCACATATGTATATATATATACACATATATATGTATATGTTTAGTTGTCATATTTTTTCCTCCCTTTTGCACCCATGCAAGCTATAAGTCAAGAACTATCTTTGATTTAATCTTCTTAAGTATCTAATACAATGTAACTCCAATTGTACCTAATGACATTTAATAAGTATAAACAAGAAGGATAGAATGGATATGGTCATTTTCCACTCTCAAAGCACCAACGATGATGTAGTTGGTGAAAAAAAAATCTAACACCTTGACTATTCACAATTTAATAAATGATGGATTTGACATCTCTCCGTTATAACAACCCTATAGTTCACCTCTAACATGAAGTCTCTGATGAGGAATGAATTACATTTATGGAGATTCTCCCCAGAAACAACTATTTGATCTGCAAGGTATTCCTCTCGAGGCTTTCCCAAACACATTAACCAAAGGATTTCTCACCAGCACAAGATGTCTTATGGTCAACAACGTATGTAGGTCATTTGAAAGATATCCCACATTCATTACACTGGAAAGGTTTCTCTCCAGTGTGAATTCTGTTATGTGCATTAAGGTTTCCCTTCCGGCTGAAGGATTTCCCACATTCATTACATTTATAGGGTTTCACTCCAGTGTGAGTTTTCTCATGTGTATTGAGATTTCCCTTCCATCTGAAGGCTTTTCCACACTCTTTACACTTATACGGTTTCTCGCCAGTATGAATTCTTTGATGTATATTAAGGCTTCCCTTCTGGTTGAAGGCTTTCCCACATTCACTACATTCAAATGGTTTCTCTCCAGTATGAATTATTTTATGTGTTTTAAGATGTTCCTTCCGGTTGAAAGAATTTCCACATTCATTACACTTATAAGGTTTTTCTCCATTATGAATTCTTTGATGTTGCATAAGGGATGAGGTCTTCCTCAAACCTTTCCCACACTGATTACATTCAAGGTGTTTCTCACCAGTATGAATTTTCTTATGTTCCTTAAGGTATCTACGCCATTTGAAAGATATTCCACATTCATTGCACTGAAAAGGTTTTTCTCCAGTATGAATTCGGGTATGAGCAATGAGGCTCCCCTTCCTGCTGAAGACTTTTCCACATTCATCGCATATATAGGGTTTCTCCCCAGTATGAATTTTCTTATGTGTATTCAGGTTTCCCATCCAGTTGAAGGCTTGCCCACATTCTTTACATTTATAGGGTTTCTCTCCAGTGTGAATTCTCTGGTGTGCATTAAGGCTTCCCTTCTGGCTGAATGCTTTCCCACACTCATTGCATTCAAATGGTTTCTCTCCAGTATGAATTCTTTGATGCTGTATAAGGGATGAGCTTTTCCTGAAGCCTTTACCACATTCATTACATTCGAAACATTTCTCTTCAGCATGATTTGTTTGATGTTGAATTAGGTACTGATTATTCCTGAAGGTTTTTCCATATTCATTACATTCAAATGGTTTCTTTCCAGTATGACTGATCTTGTGTATTTTAAGGTTTCCCTTTCGACTGAAAGCTTTCCCACATTCTTTACATTTATAGGGCTTCTCTGCAGAGTATATTCTTTGGTTTGCAGTAAGGCATGAGTTAATGTTGGAGGCTTTCCTACATTCATTACATTTACATGCTTTCCCTTGAGTATGTATTCTATGGTAATAAATAAGGTTTGAGTGGTAGCTGAAGGGCTTTCTGCATTTATTATACTTAGACATTTTCTTGCCCAAGGAAATTTTATTATGTTTAATTAGTTCTGAAAACTGTTTAAAGTTCTTTCCAAGTATATCATATTTATAGAAGTATTTTCCTACAGAACCTCTCTGCTGTGTATCAAAAATTGACCCTAGGCTGAGTTTTCTCCACAAAGCATTATCTTCACGAACACTTGGTTCATTAGAAGTTTTTTGGTGAGTGACTGTTACTTGCCCGGACTGTCTCTTTTGGTTGCCTTTCTGCCTTTCTAACCTGATATCATAATTCCAAGTTTCTGTCAGTTTAGAATCCCGAGGACCATTCCTTGTAAATCTCTTGCTAGACGACTCTCCTGTAGAAATACGCTGCTTTAGAGCTGACTCAGTGGTTTCGCATCCCATCCTCTGACCTAGGGAACCTGAAAGAAACAAAGACCTGTCAATATCCATTTCCTTCTGTGTTGAAAAAAGGAAGTGGCTGTTCCAAGTTCTAGATTTTGTCTCTTCATTCAAGGAGAATCAATGACTGATCTGGAACAGCCAAAACACTGTTAAGTAGGAACTGAAGTCCTTAGTAAGTGAGGTCAGGACACCTAGCCACCTAATGACCTAAATTTTCAAAAATGGAAAATAGGTTAATTCTAGAAACTAAAGACAGTAGAACCTGAAGCCAATTTCTAACAAAATTTAGAAACCTTTTTATCAAATAGATGTCTCGTATGCCATCAGAAAAAAAAGTATGGATCCATAATACTCAGGACAATTTTTTAAAAATAAGCTTTATTGATAGCTTTTGTTTTTAACAACACAGACATTTCTGGAAATGCATGCTCCCTCAACCCCCTCCCAATTATCACACACAAACTGAATCCTCCTTCACAACTCAAAGTGTATGCAACATTCTTTCCCTGCCTCTTTACTGAGAGCAGAGAGGTAGGATTCCTTATCTATTCTCTGGAACCAAGATTGATCATTACAATTACTGTGAGTCTGGCTTCCTGTGTATATTTTTTTCCTGGTTCTGCTTACTTCATTGTGTGTCCATTTATATGTGCCTTAACATATTTCTTTGAATTCCTCCTCTTTGTCATTTCTTAAAACATAAAGATAATATTCCTCTGCACTCAAAGAACACACATTTCTTATACTACTGCCCCACTGAAGTGAAGCCACTTCTAATTTTTGGGTAAAGCATCACAAAAAGTCATGCTAAGGATATTTTAGCATACATAGGGTCTTTCTTTCTTTGACCTCCATGGGATCTCAGGATCAGTTTTATAGGAAGAAGTGATGCAAAACCAAGTTCATTTCTTCTTAGCTGGTGAATAAGACATGCGGAAATCAAGTGACTGAGTAAAAGGATATGAAAGGACATTTTCAAATGAAGAATTCCGTGCTATCAATAGCCACTAAAAATGCTCCCAATCACTAGTGATCAGAGACATGAAAATTAAAGCAAAGAAAAACAATCAATATGGGAGGGGCTGAGAGAAAACAGGCATACTAATATATGGCTGGTGGAGTTGTGCCAGAGGGTCAAGCCCCTCTGGCAAGCAATTTGGAATGATGCCCTAAAAGCGATTAAATTGTGCATTTCCTCTGAACCCAAAATACTACTCCTAGACCTATATCCCAAAGAGATTAAAGAAAGGAGAAAAGGACGTATATGTACCACAGTACTTCCAGCAGCTCTTTCAGTAGTGGCAAGGAAGTGGTCATTAAAGGGTGTCCATCAGTTGGGGAACAGCTTTACAAATCACTGCGAATGTAATGGAGTACCAGTGTGCTGCAGGAAATGCTGAAGAGGATGGTTTCAGGGAAACCTAGGAAGGCTTTTATGAACTGATGCAGAGTGAAGAGTAAAGTAAACAGAACCAAGAGAATGATATGATGACATGTAAAGTGAACAATTTTGAAAGACATTAGGAACTCTGATCAACACAATTATCAACCACAATTCCACAGGAAAAATGATGAAGAATAACACCTGCTTCCTGACAGAGGCGACAGACTTGGTGCCGAAGGAGACCTTTTTGGAACACGGCCAGTAAGGGAATTTGGTTTGCTTGATGATACACATTTGTTTGGAGGTTTGTTGGGTTTGGTTTTTTCCCGACGCAGGGGGAATGGAAGTAGAATAGAAAGAAAATAAAATGTGGCTAATTGAAAGAAATTTAATTTAAAATTTTTTTTTAAAAAAATCAAGGATCTGCTTTTTATTGAGCCATTTAACAAAGTCTCTCAACATCTCTTTGTGGACCTTTATGAATAAATAAGGGCTGACAGACCATAAAGCCCAGTGGATTTGTGGCCAGTTGGAGAACCTTATTTATTATTTATTAATTTTTTAGATGAATTAATCAAGAGTCCTAAGGGATTTTGATGATATGGATTAGTTCTCTAATTTTATTCCTTAGACACCTGTAGCTAGACCTGTTCTTTTTGCTCTTTTTACCAACATTTTTAATGGAATCACGACAACTGTCAAGTCTGCTGCTGATATAAAGGCATGTGGAATACTTACTCTATAATAATAATTATTGTTACTGAAAGGCAGCCCAGAAGGCTAGCCCTAGATTTAGGAAGACCTGGGCTCAAGCCCTACCCGACATATGCTGTCTGTGTGATCCCAGGCAAAAATATCTTAGGCAATTCTCTGAGACCATAAGTACAGAGAAGTAGTTCATTTGGACTGACAGACTTCACCAGGGAACTGCCTTAACTGATTAAATGGCAGGTCCACACCAAAAAGGAATACCGTTATTATTATCTGTGATATAATTGGGAATGTCTAGTATTCATAAAGTTGTTGTAATGTTTGCAAAGCACTTGACACATTATCTCACTTTACTTAACACTGATAGCAACATTCAAAATTAACATATTGGACGACCGATCAAGACTTCTTAAAAACTCTTGCCAATAGAAGAATGAGCCAAAACAAATAGAGTGAAAGTTTACAGGAATAAATGTTAAGTTTTGCACTTAAGTTCAAAATATCAATTCTCCAATTATAGGACCAGGGTTTGGAAGAAGGTCTTAATTAGACCTGGAGACTTCAGCTGACCTCAAGCTACATGACCCAACAGGGCTCTGTGGCCACTAAAATAATACAATTTTGGCAGCACCTAGGTTGCACAGTATGTAAAGCACTTGAATGAACTGAGTTCAAATCTCACCTCAGACACTTACTCTCTGTGCGACCCTGGGCAGGTCACCTGACCTATCTCAGCCTCAGTCCTCTCATCTATAGAATGGAGATAATACCTTACAGGTTGGAAATGAGATCACTTAGGAAAACCTGAAGGTGCTATATAAATGCTAGCTATAATTATCATTATTACACACAGTGTTAAGATTACAGAATGTAAAAATCTAGCTCTGTACTAGCAGTTCTGCATGGTTTAGGACACGACAATTTAAGAGAGACTTTGACAAATTGCATGAACAGAGAAACAGACCCTGGGCTCTTTCAGGGAGCTGCTAATTGCCACTCAAAATCAGCTGAAGTGGTTAACCACTTCTTGAGAGAAAATGTGAACACTGGTGCAGAACACTCATGCAGAAGCCTTCAGGAAGGTGAGGCCACTTGGCAATCTGTCCCCACCATTCACTGTAGCTGCTGGAGAAAAGAACCCCTCCAAGGACAGGGTAAGGACTCAAGATGTTGTTCCAGCCAGTATGGAAAGCAACAAGCATGCTGCCGTGATTTACCCGGAGCGTCTGCTGAGGGCCTTCGGACCAAAGCCAAGTGCTCAAGGGAAGACTGCTCGCCCACCCAGAAGACAAGGAAAACGGGCAAAAGGAGTCCTCCTGAAAAAGATGGAAAAAAGGCTTGAGACTTTTTTCTCAAAAGGAAAAGGACAGAAAGATCCAAGCCAAAATCCTTGCCTGTGCCAGGAGGCTAGAAGATGGCAGACTGCAGAAGAGAAAGGCGCAAGGAAAGGACCACTGAACAAAGAAGATATGCTAAACCACAAGACGTTCTGGGCAAGAGATCAAAGCCCTCGGTGGCAGAGGTGACGTCTCCGGCAGGGCAGCCACTAGATGGGAAGAGGCGACTGGGGAGATGAAGAGTTGGTTAAGAAGACGGGCTGGGGCTCCTCCTGCTTTTTCTCCATAACAAGCGCTTAGCACCAACCCTGGCACAAAGTAAGCACCTGATAAGTGGTTGATGATTGACTTCTGGATCCCAGATTAAACCACCACAGGCTCCTTGTCAGGGAAGGCCTGGTTAGAAGGTATTTGTCCAGAGTCATTAGACTCTAACTAAGGAGGAGAGGGGGTGGTAAAGCAAACACTGCCTATGGGAAGCTAAAACCTAGATGCCTCTCAGGGGAGTAGTAGCTACCATGGTGGAAGAAAAAAAGCAGCAGCGTTCCAAAATAATTCACAGTAGACAAAAATCTAAGACAGCAGCCAGCAATAAAATCCATGGCCTCAGATGTTTATACAGGTACAAGTAATAGGCAAGGTGACCTACAGATAAACTTGATATCACAGCTATCACTGAGAGTTCCAGCCACATCTGGAAAATGGCTTTGGATCAAAGCAAAGGAGATTAGAGCAGAGCAGAGAGGGAAGCACAGATTCCTTTCATGAAAGGGATGGAATGGATAGCAGCTGAGGCCCCTTTCAACAGTAAAATACTGTGCTTCTGCAGTCAAAATTATAAACTCTTCCTGGGACGAGAAGTGTGAGGAAGATTTGATCATTTACTTAGAAGCGGCACCATATGGCAGTAAAAGCACTAGGGGAGAAGAAACCCTGGTTTGAGCACCAAGGTCATCACACCTACTAGCCTGATGACGATGGGTAAAGTCTCACTGAGTCACATATGAGTCTTCTAAAAAAGTGGGGCTAACACATTCACTACCCCCCTCCCGAGTTGGAAAAACTCTCTTCTATGAAAGGCACAGATCTGAAAGTAGGTAAGCAGCAATATAATAACAGTGATAACAATAATGGTCAATTTAAAATAAAGTACGGGGGAAAACAGACTACAGCATTTTAAGAAAGAAAAATGAGAAAATGGAGAAAATGTAAATGACAGCTTGGGGATTTGGCAGTGAAAAGAGAGCTACCATTTACATAGCACCTACTATATGCCAGGCACGGTAATAGTGCTTCACAGATTTTATCTCCTCTGATTACCCCAACAACCCTGGGAGGCAGAGGTGCTGTTGTTATTATTCCCATTTTATAACTGAGGAAATGGAGGCAAACAGAGGTTAAGTGACTTGCCCAAGGTCACACTGCTAGGAAATGTCTGGGGCTGGATTTGAATTAGGGTCTTTCTGATTCCAGGCCTGGCACTCTATCCACTGAGCCCCCCGGCTGAGACAAATTGGAATACAGATTAAACAAGCAAAAGGGTCAGTGAATTAACAACCTAGTAAGTACTTACTGTATGCTGCGCAGACAAAGAGGAAGCAATTCTTACTCTTTAGAAGCTCGTAGTTTATTGGAGCCAAGCACAAGTCAGACTTACTCTGGCATGAAAGCACAAGCAAATGAAGCCCTGAAGAAGTAAATATTATGGACAGAAGAAGAGGAGGAGATGAAAATGAGAGGGAGGGGGAAAGGGTGGGACCCCGAATACAGATCAGAAAGAAGCAGCCCTCGCTTTTCTGAGACGGGCGGAAAGATGAGGGAGGCAGCCCAGGCCCAACAGCCTTGAAGGAGAGCCCTGGGCCAGCATTTCACAGGTAGCAAGCTCACCGTCTCTGGCTGCTGCATGGTTTTTATTTACTTACCCAGGTAAGCGCTCAGTGAAACTTTTTCCTCTGCAATCCATGGTGTTTCTCTTCTCTCCAACTGGGAAAGTATACTGGGTTTGGAAATGGGAAGACCTGCTCAGTGGAAAAGAAATGTGAATGTGCTGAGGATTTAATCTTGCTTTTCTTCCTTTACGCAAAAGAACCTATGTCACGTGGATAGAGCATGGTATCAAGGACCTTGAAAGGCTGCACCCTGTCATATTCCTTAGAGGTACAGGGGTCAGAGTTAGTTTTATCTTGGGCTCAGAAAATTCATTTATTCTAACACATTCCCTGTTAAAGAGATGGGAACCTCTCCTTTCTTGCCTTAGGGGCCCTAACCTGGGACTCTAGCGGAGAATATCTGACCTAGAATAAAGGCAGGCAGGAAGTTGTAGCTTCAGGGGCAGCACCATGAAGTTGTATGGAGCTTCACGGGGGAAGAGAGAGTGGAAAGATTCTTTGGCATCAAAGGACTTAGGAATTTCTCCATGTTACATGTATTCATTAGAACATTTCTTTACTACCAGTCAGAACTCAGCAGAGCAGTTCAGACATCACACTGCCTTTAGGAAGAAAAAAATGCAGAGACGTGCAATGAACATATGATTCATGAGAAAGAAGCCGTCCGTACCAAGGGAGATGAAGTTTTCATAGTTCTCCAACATCACGTCCCTGTACATGTCCTTCTGAGCAGGCTCCAACAGTCCCCACTCCTCCTGTGAGAAGTCCACGGCCACGTCTTGGAATGTCAATGATACCTGAAACATCACAACACGTGCTCACCCGGGGACGAGTCCTCCATGTGGTGAGACACAAAGCCAGCAGAATATGGAGGGAGGAGGAGCTCTCACAGCAACAAGAGCTCTGAGTATTCCATGTAAAATATCTCCTGAGGACCCAGGTCTTCTGATCATCACTTTAAACTGTATTCTATATTGTACAAATAAATTTATCCCAGTAAATTCAGGAGTAAGTAAGGACAAGTATGATGGATAATTGATAGAATTTATAGGGAATCAATTTAAATTTACAAAGACTCTCCAATAGACAGAAGACATGCCTGGCTCACATAAAACAAGAAAGAGTAAATCAGTGCTTTGAAAATTATCCAGCATCACCAATCACGCTCAAATGGACCTGTGATCTCATCGGTTCAGAATTCACTTCTCCCACCACGCACATCACAACCCATTCAGGCTGCCCGGCCCGTGACCCCAACCCAGCTCTCCCTAAAGCCCTCCCAAGGGGGCCCACCCACCATGCTGAAAGCCTTCCTCGATCTCTCCCACCAGGCTCCAAGGGTCCCAAAGAGCACTCTGGCTGCCCGCCATTGTGCAAATGCACGTCAGAACACCGAAAACAGGCAGCACAATCTAAGCCCATAGGAGAACCTGAAGTCCAGCACTCCCGGGCCCCCTGTCCAGCTTTCTTCACCACTGGGAATTCCTCTTACTACAAGCATGGCCCAGCATAAAACCCTCTGGGCCTCCTGGGATCTGGCCCCAAAACCCTTTCCTTGTTCTCTTGTTCTGGAGACTCTCAGATTTGTAAACTACACCACAGGACCACAGATTTAGAGCTAGAAGGTGCTGCAGAGGCCCATGACTCCAGATCCTTCATTCTACAGATAAGGAAGCTGGGGCACAGAGAAATTAAGTGACTTGCCCAGGGTCACATAACAGGGCCTGAGGCAGGATTTGAACCCAGGTTCTTTGACTCCCAAGTCCCGCATTCTATCCAGTGCACCACAGTGCCTCAAAGTGGGAATTTTCATCTTCTGCCCAAGGTTCAAACCTTACAAAGAGTCTGGATTCTTCAACTTTAGCATGACCCCATCCTGGCTGGGCCCCTCGTTACAAATGTAAGAGGGAATGGGCAAGGACCTGATAACACCTTTATCTGCCCTCCTCACTCATCTACCAATGGCCTGTGACTAAAAAATCACTGACCTCCCGTCTGACTCCTTCCCTGGATGGGTTATCTCCTTCCTCTCTGACATCCCAGGAAGCTTCTTCCAGGACACCAATGAATCCCCAGCCCAAACATCCTGGCCCCTAGACGATCCTCCCAGAAGGACCCTGGTCAGGAGATGGTACTGGCCATATGAAACCTGTCTCCATGACTCCTCATGCATGCAAGGCCCTGCCCAGGGCAGGTGCACCATCTGTGCCCTTGGAGGCAATAGCTGGACCTTTCCTCTCCAATATCCACATTCCCTCTTGGCCACATCTGCAGCTACTGAGGGTTCCCCAGCAGCGATGCTTCTGAGGCACCTCCTTGTCAATGTCAAGATTTCCTCAAAACTGTAAATGCAGTTAATCCAGTGTGAGGCTACAGGAAGGCCCAAAGTGGGGAGCACAGAGCCTGAGTTGACAGGTCTGCGTGTGAAAGTCTAGCAGGCTTTTACCTTACTTGTGATCCTCAGCATGGATAATTCCTTTTCGTTCTTGGTATTAATGTCCCCTGACCTTAGCACAGAAAGACCAGCTTGTACACTGCAAAGAACATTGGATTTGGAGGGACGGTAGCTAGGTCTGAAGCTGAGCTCTATTATTATCAGCTGTGTGATCCTAGGCATGTCACTTGGCCTTGCTGGACTCTGTCTTCTCTGAAAACTGAGCATGAATAGCACTCCTAGGGCTATATCCCAAAGAGAACAAACAAATGGGAAAAGGACCCACATGTACAAAAATATTCATAGCAGGTCTTCTTTTTGTGGTGACAAAGACTTGGAAATTGAGAGGATGCCCATCAGTTGGGGAATGGCTGAGCAAGCTGTGGTATATGAATGTAATGGAATACTATTGTGCTTTAAGAAATGATGAACAGGCTGACTTCAGAAAAACCTGGAAAGACTTATATGGTCTGATGCTGAGTGAAGTGAACAGAACCAAGAGGACTTTGTGTACAATAACAGCCATGTTACGCAATGACTAATATTGTTAAACTGAACCCTTCTCAGCATTACAAGGATCTAAGACATCTCCAGAGGCCTCATTATGGAAAATGCTGTCCACATCCAAAGAAAGAACTATGGAAGTCAAATCACTATCACTTATTTTTACCTTCTGTTGAGTTTTGTTTTATCTTTCTGATGGTTCCTCCTATTGGTTTTAATTTTTACTTACAACTTCACCAATGTGAAAATATGTTTAACAGGTATGTAAATGTAAAGCCTATATCAGATTGTGCACTGTCTTGCGGAGGGTGGGGGGGAGGAAGGGGGAGAAAAATTTTCAACTCAAAAGCATATGGAAGTGATTGCTGATAAATCAAGATAAATTAATAAAATTTTTTAAAAGAAAGAAAAAAAAAAGAAAAAAGAAAACTGAGCATGTTAGAGTAGATGACTCTGAGGTACCTTCTAAATCTCCTTCTATGGTTCTCATCCATAAGAAGAGACAGGATGAATAGAGTGAAGAAAGAAGATGAAGGAAAAGGGAAAGAGATACACCTACACTTTGAGAAATGAGATAGAATCTTAGCAAAGACAGGAAATCCTAACTCACCTGGCATCTGGCCATCAGGAACCTGGAAGCCATTCCTTCTTCCTCTGTAATTCTACTTCCTTGGGGAAGGGCAGAGTCTTGAGAAGACAGAACTGAGGGAGGAGAAAGAAGTTACAAGGAGGACCAACTGTGCCTCACTACTGCCTGCCTGCCATGAATTCAAGGAAGTGGGAGTCACGCAGAGCCAGCAGCCTCCATTTTGGAGAGGGTTACTCGACTGGTAGATCAGGAGAGTGCCAGAGCTGCAGTTTAATTCATGCTGTTCTTGTGGATGGGATGGTAAATTGGGCTGGATAATAATAGGTGAATTAAAAAATGGTTCAGTGGCTACACACAAAGAATGATCACAAAGCATTCAGAGCATCAATTATGGGATTTTCAGCTATCTGTCGTCACACAGTGGAGAAGGGTGTCTTGTATACACATACACACATATGCACAATACATGCTGACACAAGATATGTATATGTATATATATTTATTTTGGGTCTTTTCTTGGTTCTTAAAAAAAAAAAGGTTGAGTGGATTCCTGCCATATTCTTCTCTTGTTCTATTCACTTGAATTTCCAAGCAGCCATCCAAGAAGGGAGAGTAACATGACAAGCACATTACGTATAATTTATTCCTGAAGCTTCTTTTCCATACAGATTTTCTACTAACAGATTTAAAGGGTTGCATAAACGTTAGCTATTATTAAGGGAAGCACAGTACCCAGAATGAGGGAGGTGAGAGTCCTTGGTTCTAATCAAGCCACACCTACAGTATCAAGTTCCATTCTGAGCATCATACTTTATGAAGGACACTAGTAAGCAGTGATATTGATGAGGATGTTGATGAGAGAACACGGATGAGGCATCCACAGGTGAGAAGATGGGATTCCTGGTGGGGTGTAGCTTTGACAAAACAGACTCCGAGGTCCCTTCAAACTCTGAGATTCTCACATAATTATGCCACGTGAGGACCAGGTCAGGGAACGAGGGATGTCTAAGGTGGAAAAGAGAAGGCTTGGGGGACAGTACCTGTCTTCAGGTATCCAAGGAGCTGTCACATAAAAGACAGATTAGCCTGATGCTGCTTGCCTGCAAGGACAGACCCAGAACGGTGGGTGAACCTTGCAGCAGGGAGCACAGGGTCACAGAGTTGGCATGAGAAGGGACCCCAGAGGCCATCGACTCTGACTCCCTCAGCTTACTACGAAGAAACAGGCTCAGGTACGGAAATGACCCGCTCCAGGTCACACAGGGAGCGAGTCAGAAGCAGGACGAGAGGCCTTCCTCCCCCCACGCAGGCTGGACGAGACAACCTCACTGAGATTTTGGGATGTCATATCAGAGCCACATTGCCTTGTCTTTGGCAGAGTTCTTGATGAGGCCCTGCTGGCTTTCTAAATGTTCACTAATCGTTCTTTAATGAGCCAGGATGTTTAACAGGACTCAACGTGAAGCTCCTCACCTACGTATATTTTACAGACTCTGTTCTCTCCCCACTTTGGAAAATGGGGACCAATTCTCCGATCCTGCGGTACCTCTCCTGTTTCTAGGGGATGTGTGTTTGGGGGAGGGGGAGGATGGACATAAACCCTGCGGCTGGCTTTATAAGGTGGTCTCTTCTCTCTCTACCACTTCCTTGCACACCCTCTCTCCTCAGAAATGCTTTTCTCCCCTTCCCTCTCCCACACTGGGCAGCTGTCCTGCTCACCTCTCTCCTGAAGCATTAGGCCCAAGTCCTCCAGCCAAGACCTCCTTGATGACTTTTCCCAAGCTGGGTCTCCTCAGCCAGAGTGGTTGAACTACTGTGGCATCAGCAGCTCCTCCTCATCCGTGTCTGCACGAAAGCTCTGGGAAAGGTCTCAGGGCAGGGAGGTTTCCTCCTAGGATGGCCTCCTGCATCCTCAAGCTTGTCCTCCAACACCTTTACCTTCCTGCAAGGCGGGGGCTCGCGGGCTCCGGGCTGGGCATGTGTAGACTCCATCAAGGGCTGCTGGGAGCAGAGACAAGGAAGAGTCACCAGGAGGAGAGCAGCATGGCTCACCCCACCTCCAGGCCTTGTACAGACATCCTGCCAGGCTCCATCGGTTTAGAAATAAGCATGCAGTTCGTTTCACCAATTAGACACTGAACAAATATTTAACGCGTGTAAATACCCATCCTGGGCACAGAAGAGAGGTGACAGAAACCCTTTCTTCCTCTCAATGAGGAAGTGGGTGAGGGGGAAGAAAAGCTGAACTGGTTAACTAGGATCAACTAACCCAGCTAAACCAACTAAGCAGCAAAGTGAGGCCTGAGCAGCCGCGATGGACTGGGGGTGTGGTGGAGACAAAGGACAGGCCGAGGAGGAGCGATGCATAAAGAGAGAGGGAAGGGCAGGAGGCTGTGCTCTCACACATGGGAGCACATGGGCGGGAGGTTCTAGAAAGTTCTGGATCATGGAGTGACGGTGGTGGTGAGACCTTCCCAGTGTGGACAGGTGGAGTCAAGGTGTAGACACAATTGGAAGGCAGAGGATTGGAGTGACAGCAACAGGTATGTTGATGCCTGAGAATAAAATGGCAGAGATTGGGGTAGGACAAAAGATGATGGGCCTAGAGTCCAAATCCAGCCTCAGGCCCATCCTCGATGTGTGACCCTGAGCAAGTCACTGCACCTTGTTTGCCTCAGTTTCCTCATCTGTAAAATGAGCTGGAGAAGGAAATGGCAAACCATTTCAATATCTTTGCCAAGGAAACCCCAAATGGGGTCACGGAGAGTCAGAACAACAACCAATTTAAGTGCCAAGCACTTTTCACAAACAACACTTCCTTGGATCCTCACAACAACCCTGAGAGGTAGTGCTATTACTATCCCCATTTTACAGTTGAGGAAATTGAGGCAGAGGTGAAGAGACTTGCCCAGGGTCACACAGCTAGATGTCTTCTGCCAGAAACCAGCTCGGGTCTTCCTGATTCTAGGCCCTGTGCTCTATCCACTGTACCACATCTGCCTCAGTTTCCTCCTTTGTAAAACGGAAATACTAACAGTATCTTCCCCACCCAGTTGTCAAGAAGATGGAATGCACTTTGCAGATACTGTCCAAGAGCTGTGCCCAAGAGACCTCGTGGAGAAGGAGAGCAGTAGAACAATGCAAGCTTATTATCGGTGGTCATTTTTATAATTTTTAGGTCAGCTGGATCATAAAGTACCCGAAGGGAAGTAAAATGTAATTAGCCCGGAGAGGAAGCAAAGAGGGGTCTATTTGATCCCCTGGGAAACAGGGAGCCACTGGAGTTTACGGAGCCGGGGAGTGAGTGACGTGGTCCGATGGTGAGACCTGCGTTGGCCGGTGGCAGGGGAGGCACCCTCCTGGAGGTGGGGAGGGAGAGTGCTTTGCCAATTACTACACCCCTTTTTGAAGACGAGAGATGCCAAGTGACTAGGCCAAGGTCACCTGGGTAAGAAGTGGAAGAGGCGGAATTCGAACCCACAGCCTGGGATTGCTGAGAATGAAGGAAAAGGGACCCTCGGTTAACACCCCCTGCCCCGCTGCGTCCCGCCCCCTTGAAACACACACCCTGCGCCACCCCGCCCTCGCCGCTGCCCGGAGCCGAACACACGCGCACGCACACATGCGGTCACACGCACGTACACACACACACACACAACACACACACACACACACACACACACACACACACACACACACACACACACACACACACACACACACACACACACTCTCACCCACCTGCTCACCCTCCAACGTCCAGCTCCGAGTTATTCTGAAAACAAAGGGATGAAAGCAAGACCCACCGGGAACTGCGCCTGCGCAGACTGAGCCGTGAACTACGACTCCCAGAATTCCTCGCTGCCGGAAACAGGGCCGCGCACGTGCCGTACGTAGTTGGATTTCCGGGAATTGGAGCCGTCCTATTCGGCTCCTTTGAGGGCCGTTCCGTTATCCTCTCTATTCGCTCCCTCCCTCCTCATTCTAACCCCTGAGTTCCCAGAATTTGAAAGAATGGACATAGAGGGTGAAAAGCGCACACTTACATCGAAACTTCCCACAACAGGTCGAGGTAAAAGTCGTGACTGTGGCCTAGTATCAGGAAACTTTGTCCTCCATGTAGAAGAAGCCTCGCGAGAATGTGCGCGTGGCCGTTATGACGTCACCAGCATCCTGCCGAGAAGAGACCTAATGTTTGCTGAGGCCTTTGTAGAGCGTGCGCCCCCCAGTGGCAGGCTGCCGCGGCTTTGAATCTGTGTGAAAAGAGTGTGTGTGTGTTTAATGAATTTTACTACCGTCAACCACGAATACTTCCTGATGCAAAAACCGAAAAGAATAAATTCGCACTTTAGGAATTTGGAGGTATGTAAAATATGGTCGTTGGCTCCAGGCCACTAGAAACAGGTGGTGTGAATTTAAATAGTGTGATGGGGGAGAATTCATCATTCCTGGCAGGCAGGACGACTTTGCTTACATGTTTTCCCAAAAGCCTATGAAACCGAATCAGTCAAGAAGCATTTATTAAGTGAGCTACCAGAAACGGCCAACCCAGTTCCTGCCCTCAAGGAGCTTATAGTCTAATGGGGGAGACAACCTATATATAGAACAGGACACACAAAATGAACACAGAGTAGAAGGAAAGAGCCGTAGAGGGGAAAATGCTAGCAACCAAGTGAACTGAGAAGGGCCTTCCAGGAGGAGGAGGCCCTGGAGGTGAGTCTCTGGGGAAACCAGGGATTCCAGGAAGTGAGGGTGAGGAGGTGCTGGGAATCCTGAAATGTAAGGGTGCAGGGTGAGTCTGCCTTGAAAAACTTCGACTACTCAGACCTTCCTTCAATCAAAGTAGTGAGGTTTATTCTAACACCGGGGTGGTGGGCAAGCTTCCTAGTAAATCTGTAGTGTTGTAACACCACCCTGAAATGTATGGGAAAATTCAGGGTCCAGGTCCATCATTGGGAGAGCATTCCAGAAACAGAGAAGAGCAAGTATAAAGAAATGGGAGTCTGGTGTGAGGAAGAATAACATAGGCCAGTATGGCAGAATCATAAAGTTTTGGAGGAATGCGTTGAAAAATCTAGAAGGGACTAGGTTGTAAGAGAAGGTTAAATGCCAGAGGGGTTTATTTTTTATCCTAGAGTTAATTGGGAACTCTGGGAGTTTAATGAATAGAGGTGACAGAGGAAAAGTAACATAATCAGACCTATGGTTTAGGATAATCACTTTAAAATGCCAAAGAGCCAAGTGAGCAGAGCAGAAATGAGGAAACAGTTTATGCAGTGTTAATATCATAGAGAAAAATAATTTTGAAAAACTTTAGAACTCTTATCAAGGCAATGATAAAGCAGAAATCCAAAAGAATGAAAATGAAACATGCCACTTGAGGGAGTAAACTTAAAATACAGAAAGTACCATTTTCAGATGTGGCTAATGGAGGGATTTCTTGGGCAATATGGATACATGTTGAGAAATTAGTTTTAGAATTTTTTCCCCACAATTGTGTAAGGCAACGAATTGGTTAGATTAATTTTGTAAAAAACAAAACAAAACGTGTTACTTGGAAAAAATTACTTAGTATTTGAGAAAGTCTTTTTTAAATGAAAAAATAATTTTCATGGCTCTGTGCAGGATGGATTTAGAGCAAGCTGCAATAGGCCAGGCCAGAGGTGATGAGGGCCTGAACTAGAGTGGTAGCTGTTTGAGTGGAAAGAAAGGAACTGCAATATTTTGCTGCTGTCTGATATGTAGGGCTCTTGTTGTTTGTCCTTTGTTCTCAAAGAGGACCGGTGACATCAGGTTGCTATGACATGCAAATGAATTGGATTTAAGTGAGGGAAGGCTTTGCAAAGTCACACTCTCTCCTCCAGAACCGTCTGGGTCCAGTGGCCATATATATATATCAGGAAGACTGGAGATGGCCCTGGATGCAGCGGAGACAAGCTAAGGTCTTTAACAGATCTCAATTTGACTGAGACAATGCCCATTCAGTGATTAAGGCTAGGTAAGAAATGAGGCAGAGGATGGCCTCTTTACCTAGTTCCAAAAAAAAAAAATGATCTGGAGGGAAGACCCTCAAAGTTTCTGGACAGAACAGAAACAGTTGCTATTTACATTCACTCTGAGCCAATCAGGGCCCAAACAATGACCAAATGGGGCTTGGCCTGGCTCATCAATGTAAGCCAAAGTGATTTGCGTTTAAGGCCTAATCCTTAAGAAAAAGAATATAGCCCTTAGACCCTAAGATACCTTAGGAGGTTTCTGTGATCAAAATTTACATTCCTTTGGTCAGAGCACCCACAAGTAGGGCTGTGATACCCTATGTGGACAGAGGGAAGGGAAGGAAGGGAGAGAGTAAAAAAGAAAGAAGTTGCTGTCTTGCCCAACTGGGCAGCTCCTCCTACCATTCATAGAGGTTCTTGTTTGTTCTTCATTCTGGAAGAGGACCACAACATTAGGGAGGTGATGCTATGACATGCAAGTGAATAGGATTTAAATGAGGCAGGGCTGTGCAAAGTCACCAGCCTCACTTTCTCCTCCAGAGCTATCTGGGTCCAGTAGCAAGATACAGATCAGGACGACAGGAGATGACTGGAATCTCAGTTTGACTGAGGCAGTACCCATTCAGTGATTAAGGCTAGGTAAGAAAAAAAAAGCAGGCGAGGGAAAGAGGATGAAACAATAGTTGCCTCAAAGGATATGCCCAAGGATAACATAGTAGTAACAAAGTTGCCTTGTTTGTGTCCCCCCCCAGACTATTTTTGTTCTTTTTTTCCATGAATTTTATGTTTTGTTGATGCTTTCTTTTTTTTTTCATTTCTATCCTTACACACTAGCCCTCTGCCCCTAGAGTCCCTGTGATTAGAGAGCAGAGCTGTGAGCCCCTCTCAGAACCCATGCCAGCCATTTCTTCATTTCCCACTCAGTTGCATTCGTTTGACCTCATTGTGCCCCTCTGTTGACACCTTTCTTCTCCCTTCCACCTTGGGCTTCCTTTTCTGTGTTGTCTTCCCCATTAGATTATAAACTCCTCGAGGACGGAGACTTTCACAGTGCCTATCACATAGGAGGCATTTAATAAATGTTTATTGACATTCATTCAGTCCTGCACCCCCACCACAATTCTTTTTTGCTTATAACCTTTTGATTTTCATCCTTGAGTGTCTTTGGGGTGGCTTTGTTTAGTTGGATATTTTGCCAAGCTTTCTTTGAACTCTTCTTGTTCGTCACTACTTCTCTTTACTTTATGAGATAGTAATGCTTATAATTACTGATCTTCTTTCATAAGATTTTACAAACAAGTATACTAGTGTTTGGCATTAGCCTTTCTTCTCACTCTTTCTCTTATAGTCAGGCTTCCAGCCTTATTATTCCACTAAAGCTTCTCTCTCCAAACTTACTAATGATCTTTTAATTGCCAAATCCAATGGCCTTTTCTCAATCCACATTCTCCTTGACATCACTGCAGCCTTTGACACTGTTGATCACTTGATACTCCTTAATATTTTCTTCTGCGGGGGAGGGAGAGGGAGATAGAAGAGAGGGTAGATTAGGGGAAAGGGTATTCAGAACACACACTGTCCTGGGGTTGGGGAAGGAATGAAATGGGGAGAAAATTTGGAACTCAAAATCTTGTGGAAGTGAATGTTGAAAACTAAAAATAATTCATGAAAAAAAAATGTTCTTCTCTCTAGGTTTTCCCGACACTACTCTCTCCTGGTTTTACTTCTACCTAACTGTTCATTCTGTCTCCTTTACTGGATCCTCCTTCAGATCACACCCTCTAACCACAGAACCCTCAAAGTTCTCTGCTGGACCCTCTTTTCTTTCCCTTCTATGCTACTTCACTTCGTGATCTCTTCAGCTCCCACAGATTTAATTACCAACTCTATACTGATGATTCTCAAGTCTACTTATCCTGCCTGAGTCTTTCTGCTGACTTCCAATCTTGCATCTCCACCTGCCTTTCTTGGACTAGATATCCAGTAGACATCTTAAACTCAATGTGTCCAAAAGAAATCTCATTATCTTTCCCCCTAAACCATCCCTGCCTGAGAAGGTCTGGAGTGTCAGGCCGGGAGTCAGGGAGACTCATCTTCATGAATTCAAATCTGACCGGACACTTCCTAGCTTTATGACCCTAAGCAAGTCACTTAACCATGTTTACCTCAGTTCCTCATCTGTAAAATGAGCTGGAGAATGAAATGGCAAACTATTCCAGTATCTTTGCAAAGAAAACCCCAAATGACATCACAAAGAGTCAGACGCAGCTGAAATAATTGAACAACAAACCATCCCCACCCCTCCTACCTTTCCTATTACTGTAGAGGGTAATACCATCCTCCCCACTCCAGCCCAGCTTCCATTCAACCACTGAAGTGATTTTCCTAAAACACAGGCCCAGTTATATAACCCCCTTACATAATGAACTCCGGTGGCTTCCCGTCGCCTCTAGGAGCAGATATCACCAGACATCTTGACTCTGACCTGCCACTGGGCCGAGATGGCTCTGGAAGAGGGAGTGAGGCTGGCGACTCCAGGCAACTCTGCCTCACTTAAATTCAGTTTATGCACGAATCAAAAGACATCATCCATACCGCCAAGACTAACGTGGAGGGGGAGATGATGCGTATTTTTGTTGTTCATAGATGATTGTGTGGCACAGTGCATAGAGCACCGGCCCTGAAGTCAGGAGGACCTGCGTTCAAATCCAGCTTCAGACACATGATATTCACTAGCTGTGTGACCCTGAGCAAGTCACTTCACCCGGATTGCCTTGAAAAAAAAAAAAGATGATCATGCATTCAGTGCAGCCTCTGAAGCTGAGATGCAATAAAGTATGGATAGATTCTCTACTGCTTGTGCTAAGCTTGACCTAAAAATTAACACCAAGAAAATGCAGTGCACCACCAGCCAGTACTACACCATCCACACGTAGAACAATCTGTTACAACAAATGTAGAAGTTCTGAATGCCGTGGATAAGTTCACCTTACCTTCTCGACAGTGTACTTTCCAGGGATGTACACGTTGATAATGAGGCTGACACAATGCGTTGCCAGAGCTAGCTCAGTGTTTGGATGCTCCAAAGGGAAGTGTGGGAGAGAAGAGGTCTTAGACTGACTACTAAACTGAAGCCTTTGTGCTGACCTCGTTGTGTGCTTGTGAAACCTGGACAGCATACCGGTGCCATGCCAGGAAACTGAATCACTTCCATCTGAATTGTCTTAGGAAGATTCTGAAGATCACCTGGCAGGATAAGGTACCAGACACTGAGGTCCTTTCTCAAACTAAACTGCCAAGCATTCGAAGTCTGCTGCAGAGAGTGCAGCTCCTGTAGACTGGCCACATTGTTTGATTGCCAAAGGTGTGCTTGCCTAAAAGACTGTTTTATGCAGAGCTCACACAAGGCAAGTGCTCACATGGTGATCAGAAGAACTGATCCAAGGACACTCTCAAGGAGCCTCTGAAGACCTCTGGAATCAATTGCATGACATGGGAGACGCTGGCAAAGGACCACCTCGCATGGCATACCGACATCAGAGGAGGAGCGGAAGTAGCCCAAAAGAAACATGAGGTGCACAGATTTAGAGAATCCACCCCAAATGTTCACACGGACTGTTTGTGGCCAGCCTGTGATAGAGCATTCTGAGCTCGTGTCAGTCTGATCAGCTACAGTTGGACACGCTGCAACTCGACTCTGACGTAGTGACGTCATTAAGGCCAACAACCAGCCATCAATCAGGAGCAAATAAAAAAAAATGCTCCGCTTGGCATTCAGAGCCCTTCATTGTAGTCTAGTCAGTATCGATGTGATTTCCGTTGTCCAGACACAAGGCCCCGCTCCAGATGCCTCATCATAAAATGGAAGCAGCCTGGCGTGTTTGGTTACTGCCAGTTGTGGGTTTTCCAAAGTCAAGGCAAAAGAAAATGAGCTTGAAGACTCACCTTCTCAGTAGCCAATGAGTTTTCAATGGCTTGGTCCCTGTAGCAAGTAGTTTTTGTAGCCCAGGCTGATTGGTGACAGGAGTTTGTCTTTTGGTTTAGTAAGCGTATTTTGGAGCATTTTCTAGATTTTTGTTCAAAGGAGCTGGGGGCACAGGGAAGTGGCATTGTGTAAAAGTTGGCCGAAAAATAGAGAAATATATAGGATTGTTTGCAGAAAAGTAAATTTTAAAAAACGATTGATACATTAAAATAAATGTATTTAAGTAAGTTTATAAATGTATACATTATTTTATAAATAAATTTAAGATAAATTGATAAAATCAAAAATGAAACCATTATTTCATTTGGTCAAATAAATGAAAACTATGCAGCATTGACTTTGTCTGGATGTTGTAGGCTTTATCCCTGGAGCCTGTTGCACAGGGCTAACTCTTTTTATGATAGGAGGACAAAGAGCAGGTACCTTGCTCCATAGCAGTCCATTTTATAACCCTGAGTTCTAGGTTTTCAAAAGTTAAGCCAAAAGTAGAAGAGTCTGAAGACTATCCTTACAAACTGTCAGCTTCCAGGGAGGTGGTTACTTTAAATTGCAGCAAAATTACATCCCATTCTAGTCATAGGCAATGTGGTAAGGAGTTTTTCTAGCCCAGACTTGTTTGTAACATGAGTTTGTCTTACTTTGGTGAGGATATTTTGGGCCATTTTTCATGTTTTTGTTCAGTGGGCCTAGAGGTGCTTAGAAGCACCATTTTGAAAAAATTGGCAAAAAAAAAAATGACACATATATTTCTTTGTAAAAAAAAAGTACATAGATATGCTGGCTAAAAAACTAAGTGAATTAATTTATCTATTTATTAAAATAAATTGACACATTTGTTCATGTAAAGCTAAAAATGAAGCAATTGGTATATTTGTCCAAATAATTTATTTTTAAAAGGGGAAATAGTGTTTCCCCCGTGGGTGCTGAAGATCTTGAGGCCCTGAGTCTGTGGTACAAGAAAAAGTGTTTGAAGGATAAAAGGAATAAATTAGAAATGAATGACCTCTTTATCCACTTTAGTGTATTTTGAAACCATATTATGGTCTAGGTTACTCAAAGTCAAGCCAAAAGAACAGAAGCCCAAACATTAACTTTCTACTACCCTGTTGCCAGGAAGATGACTAAATTAAAATGCAGCCAATTACATGCCATTCTGAGCATGGTCAGTACGGCAAAGGCATTTTTTTATTCTAGCCAAGTCTTGTTTGTGATATGTTTGTCTTTTAGTTTGGCAAAGTATCTTGGGGGCATTTTCCAGATTTTTGTTTGTTTGGTGGGACTGGGAGTGGTAGGAAGCACCATTTAGAAAAAGTTAGCCCCCAACTTAGAGAAATGTATTCTTTGTGAAAAACAAAACAAAACATAGGTTTGTTGGCTGAAGAAAACAAATTAATCATTTTATCAACTTATGAAGATAAGTCAGTAAATTTGTTCATTTGAAACAAGGAAAGAACCAGTTGTTTCTTTTGGTCAAATAAATGATTGAAAAATGTGCAGCAGTGACTTTCCCCGGGTCTCGGGGTCTGTGTTCCCTGAGCTTGTAGCACCCAGATAGATGACTCTTTGCGCCTTCAGAGGAATACTAACAGGTATCCAACTCCACTTTAGTGTGTTTTGTAACCCTAAGGTCTAGGTTTTTGAAAGTCAAGCCAAAAGAACAAAGACTATTCTTGCCATTTGTCTGCTTCCGATGAAGTGATCAATTTAAAGCATGGTGAATTTCATGCCACTTTGGGCATGGCTGATGTGCCGAGGAGTTTTTCTAGTCCAGACTTGTATGCAATATGAGTTTGGCTTTTAGTTTGGTGAGGATATTCTGGGACACTTTTCAGATTTTTGTTCAGGAGATTTTGGGGGTGCTGGCAACAATCATTTGAGAAAAAAAATTACTTTGTAAATAAAAACATATAAATTGGTTTGCTGAAAAATGAATAAATTTATCAATTTATGAAAATATATGTTATTTCATTCAAATCAGAAATGAATAAGGAGGGAAAAGGGCAGCAATATATTTGGCTTTCGTTTTGAGGGTCTTCAGACCCCAATACTTCAGCACAAAGATGACCTTTTACATGGCAGGAGGAGTAAGAAAGGGTACCTCACTGTACTTTAGACTGTTTTGTAACCCGAAGATCTAGGTTTCTGAAAGTCGAGCTAAAGGAACAGGAGCCTAAATACTACTGTTGCAAATTGCCTGCTACAGGGGCAGCTAGATGACACAGTGGATAGAGCACCGGCCCTGGATTCAGGAGGACCTAAGTTCAAATCCAGCCTCAGACACATAACACTTACTAGCTGTGTGACCCTGGGCAAGTCACTTAACCCCATTGCCTAGCCAAAAAGAAAAGAAGCAAATTGCCTGCTACCAGAGAGGTGATCAGTATAAAATTCAGTGACTTACATATCATTCTGGGCATGGCCAACATGGCAAAGACATTTTCTTGTCCAGGTTTGTTTGTAATAGCAATTTGACCTTTAGTTTGTGGAAAGAATTGGGATGTTTTTCAGATTTTTTTTTTCATTCATGCTGGGTGCTGGGAAGCACCATGTGGAAAAAAATTGACCAAGAAAATAGAGAAATGTGCTTCTTTGTAAAGAGAAGAGAAGAGATTTGTTGACTGAAAGTATGAAAATCATTATATAATTTGATAAATTTATACATTTAAAAGCAGAAATGAAACGATTGTTTCCTCTGGCCAAATAAAAAATTGAATAATGTGCAGCAGTTTGGTCCCCTTGTAGCTGAAGTCTTTATCTCTTAGGCTTGTAGCACAAGAATGATTAGAGGAATAATAAAAGGTATCTCACCCCACTTCAGTCTATTTTGTAACCCTGATGTCTGGATTTTGAAAGTCAAGCAAAAAAAACCCCAAAAAACAAGAAACAAAAGACAGAGGCCTAAAGACTATCCTTGCCAACTGCTTGTTGCCGTGGAGGTGATTAATTTAAAATGCAGTGAGTCACATACCATTCTGAGCATGGATAACATAATTAAAAATTAGAATTGTGCAGCTTCATGGAGTGGTGAATTTTCTCTCTAAGTATGTCTTCAGCCAGAGGCCAAATGACTCTTTTGGGAGATGTTTATAGCACTGGTTACATTCAGTTATCGTTTAAAACTGATGACTAATAATTCATAAATTCTGTGATTCTGATTAGTTTTTGAAATGATTTGACTTTACCTTTCTCCATATTAAATTTTAATTTTAACTCATTATATTTGGATCAGTGTTCTAGCCAGTGAAGATCTTAATTTTTTTTTTTTGGATATTGACTACCATCCAGTGTATTAGTACTCTACCCAGCTGCATAGAATCTGTGAGTCTGACTCATTTGCCATCAGCACTTTTATCCAAGTCTTGGAGTAAAATGTTAGACATCAGAGACCAAGCACAGATGCCCTAGGGCCTCTACTGGAACCATCCTTTGAAAGTTGTCACCATCAATGACTTTGCATTGAGTCTAGCAATTAACCAGTTTCTTAATGCAGATCACTCTCTGGTCTTTTACCCCTCTTTTCTCCATCTTGACGAAAAAGAGATCGTGAGAAGCTGTTTCAAAGGCTTTCCTGAAAGCAATGTAACCTCTAATGGGGCATTATCTTGATGAATGAACTCTGTGAAATTCCATCCAAAGGAAATGAGATTTGTCTGCCTTTCAGTGTGATCTTACTGTTGTGTACTGGGAGAGGTCAGCTGACCTCTGGTGGCATCCCTCCATCCTATCTTCTCTGACAGAGCTCTCACAGGGATTGAGTTTGACCCTTGATGTCATTTATTTAGCAGGAGAAAGAGAAGGAGAGAGTTGAAGAAGTGAATGGCACTATTCTGCTAGCTGGGGCTAGGATAATGGTAGGCTCCAGGGTGAGTCTAAACTTCATCCTGACAGGGCAGAGAAGGGAAACTGAGATCACTGGTCCCCTGCAGCTGAAAGTAGCCTAATTAACCAGCATAGGCTTGAGGTTTTGCTCCCAACACAGACGCAAACACTTCAAACTATGTTAGATGGTTTATGGAGAAAGGAATGAAACAAATTGGAGGAACTCCTCAGAGTTCCTCAAATAACCACGACTGAATAAGAGACAACTTTTTAATTAGTCAATCACTGGGCAGAGGTGACTGGAGGCCTCTGGTGGTTCTTTACTAGGGTGTGACAGTGAAATGATGATAAACATTTGTAGCAGAGTTGATAACACAGGAGGCACTAGAGTTTTTAGGTTCCAGCCTCTAACAGGGTCATTCCTGATCCGGGCAGCCACAAGGACAGGAAAATTGCTTTGGGTTAAACAAGCTTACTTTATTCTAGTCTAGTCTTCTCAAAAGGTTGCTGATAATGGGAGCACCAACTCCTACAGCATTCCCTAATCACCCTTCTCTCAGAGGCTGGCAAGAAGGGGGGCCAATAACCCCTATGTCTCCACGGGGGCCAATTGAGACAGCACAGCATTCCAGCTTGTGCACTCTCCTAAGTCCCCCCAAGCCTCAATGGGGGCCAGTTGAGGAGCATTACACTGTCACATTCCCAAAATGCCCACTCACTGACCAGTGCTTTCTTGATTTATAGAGAAGCACACAAAGAAGACAATTTGCCACATTAAGCTCACAGGTTAATTTTAGCAATATCGTCATGACCTAGCACAGCACAAGCATAGTAATCATTACATTATATCACCCCTGTGTCTCACCACACAGTCGCAAACATGATCATGGGAATTATGATCTATTTTGGCCATGGATGCAGGGTCCTATTATCTAAAACAGAATAACACAATCCTCCTTACTTACACCACTTATCAAAGGCCCTCATCTGATGCACTGCTGGTTTCAAACTTGCTTAGCCCTAACTGAACCTGTGACCTCTTTGGGGATCCAAGAGGGTGACAAGAGCATCAGAGAGAAAGGCTCTTGGCATCTGCTTACTCTGGTCCCCTGGGTCTTTTTTTTTCTTTCCCAGCCAAAGACAAGGTTTATTAGAACATCTGTCATACTAGGCAGACTCTTAAGGAGTCTGAACATTAGTAAGCTATTGGCTAGATTATAAGAATCTGAGCAGTGGCTAGATTTTAAGAATCCCAGCATCTTAATAAAGACAAGATGGACCTTATATACAGAAAGACTGTGGGAGGGATCTAGGAGCGGCCAAGTAGTTTGGAGTGACTGGAGTGGGGGGGGGGATCTAAGGAGATCTGGATGGGAGTGGCCAGTAAGCTGGGGTGAACAGAACTGGAAGGTGGGCCACCAGCCAAGGGATAATGGAGCCTAGCTAAAATTAAGTGTGGGAAGTGGCTGGGGGCCACAGGGAGGTAAGATAATGGAGGGCTAGGCTAGGTTAAGGGTAACAGAATTGTGAGACTGGATGTCACCACAATGAAAGACCAACTGATGGGATTATAACCTTACACAAACACCAGAGATTTGGCCATATGGGAAAGTCCAGGGTTCTTCCTTTTGGGGGTCTAGATCCCATCCTCATCACTCTGAGGAAGAAAATGGCAAACCACTCAAGTATCTTTGCCAAAAAAAAAACCACCCCAAAACCCCAAATGGGTTGACACAGAGGCAGGACAGAACCACACTTCCCGTTGCCCTTCAAGCATGTCCACTCTTAGAGTGGCCTCAGCTGGGACCATGACTACTACCCTGGGTTCTCCTGAGCTCATCTGACAGTGAGAGGGGTCAGGCTTGGACCTGTGATTTCACAGGCACAGGAAGCGCCTCTCTCCCAAAGCGGCCCGGCACGCCCGGCCAGGGCTCGGTCAGGCCGCTCAAGGTGACCCTACCGGCCAAAGCCAGGTCTTCCTGGTCACTAAAGGAGAAGTTGCACCCGAACCCACTCACCGATGGCCTAATGCGTTTGGCTCCTGCGCCTTATTTTAATTTTCTTCGGGTCTTTTTTGTTTCAATTGTTTCTAGTAAAAATGAAACGTCTCCTTTTTTAAAAAAATTTTTAAATGTTTTCCTAATTTAAAACGTTAGCTCCTGCACCCAAACATATTTCGCTCTCACCGGGTAAAGAAGATGTTGACGCATGCCCAGAAAACCTAGGGTGCAGTCACCCAGCGGGGGTCCCCGGCCAAGGGGAAACACGCGACACATGCGTAGACGTGCCTACCACGTGGTGGCAGCAGCCTCTTTCTATTGGCTGCGAGCCGAAACTGCCTGCGTCTTTTAATCTACTCCTTACTTAGAGATTTCTTCATTTAAAAAAAAAGAATCACTCCGTATCACATGAGCCACTCCAAAATTAAAAAACAACAGCAGCAACCTTCCCTTCTCACAAGTAAACCTAAAGCAGCCCACTTAAACGCAGCCGTGGTTTGTCAATTCTGTGAAGACTTTCTAAGCAAGGAGCGAGCCCAAAGAAGGCGCACAGTGACGGCCATTTTCCAGCCTCGCTTCCAAGACAAACGTCTACGCGTTCCGGCCTTACCGATTGGACGGGTCCTGGTGAATTGTGGGAAATGTAGTTCAGGGCGAGCTCTGCGCACCCTCAGTTCTTGAAGTGAGGCAGAGGAAGGGTTTGATTATTCCTGCTTTTAGTTCTTGGAGGGCCTTTGTGCTGGTGGGTGAGTCAGGGGGTGTGTGTATGTATGTGTATATGTACATGTGTGTCTTTGTGAAGGGGTGTGCGCGTGCATGTATGCAGAGCTGTGCATGTGTGTGTGCAAGGTGTGTGCAGGTGTGTATATGTGTGAGCAGGGATGTCCCTGTGTGCAGGTGTGTCATGCGTGCCTTGTGTGTGCGTGGTGTTGGGGAGCTCAGGGGGGCTCCCCCTGGGACTGGGGGAGAGGGGAGGATGTGGGAAAAGGGAATGGGGGGGTGTCACGTGCTACAAGTGCGAGGCTTGGAATTTGAACCCAAGACCTGGCACCCCAAACGAGTGTGCACTGAAGAGAGCAGAAGGAAACAACCAACATGTGAGACTCACATGTCCAATGGAGGGTATCTTTGACAGCTGGCTGGAGTAGGGAGGTTTCTGGGATTCTCTGATTCTTTGTCCAAGATTAACGTGGTGATAAGGCCCCGCCAGAGACCCCTCCCAACCTTCCCCTTTTTGCAGAGGAAAAGGTCCCTCTTTGACATGTGTTAAGAATGCTCCTTCACTTTTCGGGGGCTCCAGAGTAGTTGTGGTAGGAAAGCAAAGTGTTACCTGTTACCTCTACTTCCAGATTTATTCTTTGGGGGTTTTGAGCATTGTAATTGGTTGATGGGGTAAAGGAGAGAAAAAGGAAATGGGGAGAGAATCTGACTGATGCCATGGCTGACTTTGGCCCCGTTCTCAGAGATGGGACCCTGGTCTGGACTTCTTCGAAACTCCCTCTTGATCAACTCCTCATGAGCTGATACAGAAAACAAAGAAGTAAATTTGTTCACAGCCCGAATTTCTGGTGGATTCTTAACTATCTGGTCTCTAAAGCACACAATGGATGCAATTAAGATCTGTAAAGGATGATGGGTGTGTGTGTGTGTGGGTGTGTGTGTGTGTGTGTGAGAAATTGGGAACTACCAGGTAAGACTGGTCTCCTTCCTGACTTCCTTCTTATCCTTCAGGTCTGGCTTTTCAATACTCTGCTCTTCCCCAAGAACGTGAAAAGAGGAGAAGGAGAAGGGAAATGACTTCTGTGCTCCTAACAGCCAGGTCCCAGGTGAGTGAAAGACTTTCTCTTTCCTGAAATGCCATCCCTTTTCTCAAAGTGTGGACACTTGTCTTTGTCTTGTCTTCTGTCTTCTGCGTCAGGGAGCCAACTCATTTTTGTACCCCCAAAGACTTTGTCAGTTTTGACAGACAATATAGTGTTCATAGATTTTTTGATCTAGAAGGAAGGTAATCCAATCTCCTAAGTTTGTAATTCACGAAACCTTATCCTTCAGCAGTTTTCTGCTAAAAGTAGGAGTGGGTTTACTCTTTAAGTTAGTAGCAGTATTGTCCAGTATTCAATTGATTTAGAGCTAGAAGGAACATTACATGTCAGTTAATTATCTAGTCCAACTGCTTCATGTAATAGATGAGGAAACAGGGCAGAAGAGGCTAAGATGGTTTGCCAAAGGTCACACGGTAACTAGTGGGGTCAGAATTTGAATTCAGGTCTTCTGACTACTAGCCATGATTTATATTGCCATTTAAAGTGATTTTTACTCCTTTGTTGGAGCAATTGTGTATATTACTCTTATGACTTCTCTGTGTTCACTCTATACTACTTATAAATCTTCCTCTCTTTCTTTGAAATCTTCACATTTGTCATTCCTTAGATCACAGTCAGTTCTTTGGAAATACCATTGCCTTTTTTTTTCTGTTGCAGATATCACTGCTACAATTTTTCTTGCATATAGGTTTTTTCATTTTGTCAGTAAATTCCTTGAGGGTGAAAAACAAACGAGCAAACAAACCATTTGTGGCACCAGCCAGCTGGGTCGGAGAGTGTGAAGAGCACTGTAACTTTTCTTGTGGAATTCCAAAGTATTTTCTAGAATGGTTGGACCAACTTGCAGCTCTACGGCCAGGGAATATTTGCCGATATTTTTGAATCCCCTCAGACACTGACTTGTTCCATCTCTGGCAGTTTGGTAGGTGTGAATGGAAAGGGCAGAGTCTGCGTTTGATTATCAGCCCTAACAAGCTGGTATTTTTTGGGTGGTTCTTGAATATCTGCATTAAATCTTCTAGAATTTCTTGCTGGTATCCTTTCCCACCTCTCTATTGCAGACAGGGGATTTGGATGACTTCTTTGTAGGCTTTATATGTCAGAATTTTATCATGTACTCTGCAAAGAGATTCCCTTGTCTGTGTCTTTATTTAGGATCAGAGATCTTGAGCAAAAAGGGACCTCAGAGGTCATATTGTCCAAACCTCTCAATTTACAGTTGAGGAAACTGAGACCCAGGGAGATTTAGGGACTTGTCCAAGATCACACAGCCTCAGAGGTGGAATTTGAACCCACATCTTTGACTCCAGAGCCAATCTTCTTTCTCCTGTACCACTGTGCCTCTTCTTAATCTACACAAATGTATTTATTTGAGCAAAAGCATTTTATTCTCATTGAATTCAAGTCATCTGTTTCGCCTTTTGTGACATTGTCTTCATTGCGTCTGGTTAAAAACTCATGCCCTAACCCTTTGACCCAATGCTCCTGTTTCTACCCCTGTATCCTGAAGCATTTAAATACAGAAAGAAGATCCCCATCTGCCCAAATATTCACATTACTTCTTCTCTCTTTGTGGTAGTGAAGAACTGCAGACCAGGTGGGTTCTCATTAGTTGGGAAGTGGCTGAATAAATTGTGGTGTATAAAGGAATATCGTCCAGTAAGCCACAAGGAGTATGAAGATTTTGGAGAAACGCTGGAAGACTTGTATGAATTGATGCAGATCAAAAAATAATGAAATTTGAGAGTTGGAAGGGACCTCACTGGCCATCTATTCCAACTCATAAACCCCTTAGACTGTGAGTTCCTAAAGAGCAGGGAGTGTTTTTTTTCCCCTTTCTTTGTTTTCTGTATATTTAGCACAGTAGCGGAAACATAGTAGGTACTTGAATGCTTGTTGACCAGACTATAACATATATAGCATAATATAACATAATCCCCACATGTAAAATTACAAGTAGTCTTCCAACTTCTATTGGAAGACTCCCAAAGCAGGAGCACCCACTTCCTCTTGAGACAGCCCACTCCACTCTTGGACAGTTCTGATTGTTAGAATGTTTTTCCTGAGATCCTATTTTTGCCACTTCTTACTGTCATGTCCCTGGTTTTGTCCCAGTCCCTCTTCCAGGGGACAGGCCTTCAAATACCAGCAGACCCCTATCCCGTCACTCTTGAGTCTTCTCCAGTTTAGACAGACCCACTTCCTTCCCCTGATTCACATGATATTGATTCAGGGCCCTTCACCCTTGTAGTTGCTCACCTCAGGACACCCTCCAGCTTATCAGTGACCTTCTTGAACTGTGACTTCCCAAGTGAAGCTCTCTCTGCAAAAGGGCAGAGTATAGTGGGTTTATCCTTTCCCTATTCCTGGAAGCTATACCTTTCTTAATACAGCCTAAGAACTCATTAGATTTTCTGGCTGCTGTATCCTGTTGCCAGCTCCTGTTGCCAGCTCCTGTTGGGTTCTCCTCCAATACAGCTCCAAATTTTTTAGAATGATGACTGTCTTACTGTGCCTCCCCAGTCTTATACCTGTGAAATCGACTTTTCTGTATGTAGGTGTAAAACTTCAAGAACCTGCCAGACAAACTACTTGTCAGGTGGTGAATGGAATGGACTCTCTTTGTGCTAAATGAGGTCCCTTCCAAACTCACATTCTGTGGTTTTGTGGCTACATTCACCCCATTGAATTTCATATTACTGGTTTTGGTCTTCCAAAGACTAGAGGCAGAGCATTGGTGGACTGGAGGCTCCGTATGAATCAACAGTGGGATGTGATCATCAGAGAAAATAATGGGATCTTCACATGGGTTGTAAGAGGTATAACTTCCAGAAATGGGGAGTGATCATTCCAATGTCCTCAATGTGGAGGCAAGAGAGACTTGAGGTAGGGATATTGTTAGGACCTGAACTAAGCTGATAGTCTTGTGAGCAAAGAGAAGGGTGGTAGTAGTACTAATCTAACAGAGGAATAAAGGGAATACCCTAGACAGAGGTTCCCTGGATTTCAGCAAAGGTTTTTGGGGGGTTTTTTAAGGTAAATTTATATTGATATCTTTTGTTTTATACATAACTGTAATTTCCCCCAGTGTCCATTCCTTTCCCAAAGAGCCATCTCTTATAACAAATAGTATTTTTTAAGATAAATAAGAGAAAGTTGAAAAAAATCAGTATAACTAATATATCAAAAAAGTCTACAAGTATGTGCAGTGTCCAGCATTTGTGGGTCTCCTACCTCTGCAAAGGATGGGGTCGTCTCCTCATAGCTCTTCTTTCCAGCCATGGAAAAAATTTCTGTTTAATTGTGCAACATCCTTTTTTTTTTTTTAGTAGTTCTATCCATTTATGTTATTGTATATATTGTTTACTGTGTATATTTTTTAGTGTATATAGTGTATTTTGTTTTCTTGGCTCCACTTTACTGCATCAGTTCATGTAGATCTTTCCATGCTTCTCTGTATTCATCACATTTTTCATTTCTTAGAGAATTTTTCATTTCTTAATATTCCATTATGTTCATGTACCATGATTTGTTTAGCCATTCTCCAATCTATGAGAATCTATTTTGTTTCCAAATCTTTGACATCACAAAAAGTGCTGCTATAAATATTTTGGTGTATGTGGGGACTGCTTATCAATGACCTCCTTCAGACAAGTCTAGTAATAGAATCTCTGGGTCAAAGGGTATGGATATTTTAATCACTTTATTTGAATAATTTCAAATTGCTTTCCAAAATGGTCATACTGATTCATAGTTCCACCAACAATGCACCAGTGTGCCTATCTTCCCTAGCCCCTCTAACATTGACTATTCCCAGCTTTTGTTATCTTTGCCAATTTACAGAGTGTGAGGTAAAGCCTCAGGACTGGTTTAATTTGCATTTCTGTTGTTATTTGTGATTTAGAGAATTCTTTCATCTAGTTGTTAAGTTTGCAATGTTTTTGAGAACTGTTTATATCCTTTGACTGCTTATCTATGGGGGGGGATAGCTTTTGGTCATTTGCATTTCTCTAATCTTGTGTTTCCTGTCCCATTTTCTCTGATCTTTTAAACTGAATTTTTGTTGGTGGCTTTTGTTACTATATTGCTTACATTTCCCCTTGTATCACCCATCCCTTCCCAGAGAGCTATCCCTTATATTATATAATAAAGAATAAAAAAGAGAGTAAAAGGGTTAGTAAAATTAACCAACCTATAGAACAAGTCTTTATTATATACTCTATATAGTGCCCTTTATTTTGCAGATTCTGTTCTTTTACCATTTTGTGTGAATCATCACAATATTTGCTATTATCTCAATGTGTGGTTCCTCTCCTATTTTTCATAAACTTTCAGATAGCATTGCCTGTGACTCATCAGTCACACTTGCCAACTTAGCCCCCAAGCAGGTAGTTCATCTGGGCCAGATGATTTAAATTCACATTGACTTGAAGGCAGAACCAGGAGAACAGAATACACAGTATATATGATCCAAGGGAACTGTATTGGAAGAAGCACTGTGGACTTCTGGGAAAGTCTCCATGCTCCTGGCTAGACAGTGAGAGGTAACCTCAAGGCTAGCCCTTCTCCTGGATAAGTCACTTAACCACTCAGTGCTCTGGGGGAACTTTCTAGGGCAATTATAACTACAGGAAAGGTACTGATCTGCATTGATAGAGGGGATTTTCTTTCCAGGGAGCTCCTGATAGGAGCAAACTCACAGGCCAGTACCAATCCCAAGCCTTTGATCCTCACAACAAGACTATAAAGCAGGTGTTATTTTTATGATGAGGACGAGGCTGCAAGTTTGTTAATTAATAGGAAAATATTAACCTAGACCCCTAAATTGTGGCACTCGGGTTGAGTATGTGATAAACTAGAATCAAGTAGCTGGCTGATGCTTCACTAACTAGGGTATGGTCTGCACAGACCTAATTATACTTGTAACATTTACAAACCTTGAAGGAAGCTGGTGATGTTATTGCCCTCAATTGATTTCATCAGCTGTGCAGTTTGGGAGTTTTCAAGTAACATGGATCATTCACTTTGGGTTCAGTATGGAAGCTCGTTTGTAAGGCTGACCTTGAGTGGCAAAGTTTTTTATAAGATTGAGTTAGTATAAAGTGAGGTAACCAATAAATAAGCCCTCTAGCAACAGTAAAAATGGAATATTTAAAACCCTTAATGTTTTGAGAAGCAGTGCCTTTCCATTCTGCCAACTTCATGTCTTCCTCATATCCCCATGAGGGCTTGTCCCCAAGTGAGCAGGTGTCTTGTTTGCTATTTCAGATACCACTGACATTCCAAGATGTGGCTGTGGACTTCACCTGGGAGGAATGGGGGCTCTTGGAACCTTCTCAGAAGGACATGTATTGGGATGTGATGCTGGAGAACTATGAGAATTTTGTCTCCCTTGGTAAGGTCGGCTCTCCCCCCTGCCAGATAATCAGCTTCCCTTGGGTTGTCTTTGCATTTCCTCTTGCTGACTGATGCCTGAAGTACTTCCCTTCTCCTGGAGGGATGATGTCCTGAATGCACCTGATAGGGAGTGACTTCACAGTTGTTTGGTACCCAGGGTCACTGGTGTTTCTGCTCTCTCTATTTAAGTGAAAGGTGTTTGTGTACAATGGGAAATCAGGAGTTTCATAGTGCTGCCCTAAGGCTACAGTTCCACTACTGGCTGTTCATTCAGATCAAAGAGCCTCCCCCAAAGACCCAGTGTAGGGGCAGCTAGGTGATGCAGTGAATACAGCACCAGCCCTGGAGTCAGGAGGACCTGAGGTCAAATCTGGCCTCAGACATATAATACGTACTAGCTGTGTGACTCTGGGCAAGTCACTTAACCCCAGTTGCCTCAAACAAACAAAGACCCAGTGTAGATGCTTGAAGATATGAAAGGTTTTTGTCTTCCTAGGAAAGATTGGGAAGAAGTAATTTCCTCTGAGCCAGTGACCCATCCCCTAGGACTGAATTCTGGATTTTCTCTCTGATCTAAGCATTTTCTCATTTATTTTTTAATAAGGTGGCCTTCCCATTTGCCTCCCAGATGTGATTTCCCGGATGGAAAGAATAGAAGCCCCATGGATGGCAGAGGGAGGAGTCCTGGTTAGCACTTTCCTAGGTGAGTGCATAAAAAATAAAGAGATGGGAAACACAGTAAACATCATCCCAGCAGATGAGTAAAGGTGTTGGACAGGAAGCTTTCCTTAGGCCTTTAGAGAAGGGCTGTGTCCTAGAGTGTGAGAGGAGTGAAGAGGGAAGGAAGACGGGTGAAGTCCTCACAGAGCAGTGAGTTTTCTGTTAAAGTGACATATTGACAGCATTGTTGGCTTTGTGAGAGTGGGCAAGATAGTGAAGGCTTTCAAAAGCAACACGTTTTATCAGAAAGTAGCCTGTATATATGCAACACAGTGTTATCACTGGTAGTTCTTTGAAAGTTCAAAAGAACAGGTAATTAAGGATGAGTGATTTGGTAAAGCTTTATTAAGAACTGGGTGACTATGAAGAGGAGCCAGCTGGAATTGGATTCCTTAGAGGAAAAGGAGGAAGCATTCTTGGCTGGGGAATTATCATGTGAAAGGCAGACCAGGCAAGAGAGAGATTTGTTTGACTGGAGCAGACTATGCTTTCTGGGCTGCTTGTGCGACTTCCTGGAGGAATTGATTTCTCCCAAAATGTAAGTGCATTGGGGTAATACAGCAGTTTTTATTGTTTGTTTGTTTGTTTTTTAGTAGGGAAGTGATATGATGAAATTAATGCCCTGAGAAAGTTAACTTCACCTGGGAGGAATGGGGGCTCTTGGAACCTTCTCAGAAGGGCATGTATTGGGATGTGATGCTGGAGAAAGTATTGTGAAGGGCTGATTAGAAGAGGGAAATGCTGCAAATTTTTTTTTTGCTAATTACCTATTTCCCTTCTACTTGTAGCTGTGCTGGTTTTGTTTGTACAAAAACTTATGTAATTGAAGTTGTCTGTTTTATCTTCCCTGATCCTCTTTTTAATTCCTTGCTTGGTCATGAACTCTCCCCCTACCCATGTATAGGAAAAGTAATTTATTCCTATCTCTTCAAATTTGTTTAGAACATGACTTTTTATATGTAATTTAGGTATCCATTTGGAACTTATCTTGGCATAAAGTGTTCTAAACCTAGTTTCTGCTCAGACTGCTTTCTAGTTTTTTCAGCATAATATTCCCCCCCTCCCCCTCCCAAATAGTAAGCTAGCAATTCAGGTATTTGGATCTACTAGGTTCATTTGCTTCTGTATGTTGCATATCTAATCTGTTTCTCTGATTAACTTCTCTTTTTTGTAACCAGTATCATATAGTTTTGATGATTTTTGTTTTGTAGTACAGTTTGAGAACTGGTGTTGCTAGGCTCCCTTCCTTGCCATTTCTAAAACATTTCTCTTTAGATTTTTGAGCTTTTGTTCCTGCAGATAATATACCTTATTATTTTTTCTAGCTCTTTAAAGTAATCTTTTGATAGTTTGATTGGTATTGCAAACACTGTATTACTAAGCGATTATTGGTTTGATAGGCTTTCCCCAAATTTATCTGGAGATTACCTTGAAACTTATCAGTCTTTAGTTTACAAAATTAATCTGGTTCTTCTTTCTTAAGATGGAGACATTATCCCCAGCTATTATGAATCAGGATGTTCTGATGACATTTAGAAATGCCTTCAGTACCCTGGAATGTAATTCTTTAAATCTTGGGCAGGTAGGTGCTCTGATACAATATTTCATTAATTAGGTTGGGCTTTAGTTTCTTAGTAACAATGACTGTTCAACTTTTTCCAGGTTAATCGTCATTGTCTTTAAAGACAATCTAGACCTAGTATAAGTCCCTTTGCTTTCTTCCACCACAGAGAATAATGGTTAAATAATGGTTTATATGTTTGTTTCAGGTTCCCTTAGTCAGAAGACAAGATGTGAAGTCAAGGCACCAACTCTAAAGCAGGATATTTTTGTGAGAGAAACATTCCAAGGAATACTTACAAAGGATGGCCCCCGGCAGTCTCCTTTGGAAGAAACTCGGGCTCATGATGTTGAGTTAGAGAGGCAGAAGGAAAATCAAGAGACACACTCTAGGGAGGACAAAATCACTAATGAATCTTCTAGTGGATGTACTGTATTTGGGAGAAAGCTCATCCTGGGGTCAGTTTTCATTCCTCAACAGAGAGTTCCTATAGGAGAAAGTCTCTATAAATGTGATACCCTTGGAAAGAACTTAAAACAGGTTTTAGATCCATTTAAATATAAGAGAATTTCCATTGGGAAGAAATGTTGTAAGGATAGTAAATGCAAAAAGCCTTTCAATTACCAGTCAAATGTTATTCATTACCATAGAAAACATGCTAAAGGGAAACTCCATAAGTGTAACGAATGTAATATAAACTTCAGCAGCATTTCATGCCTTACTGTTCATCAAAGAAATCACAGTGGGGTGAAACCCTATAGGTGTGATGATTGTGGGAAAGCCTTCATCAAGAAAGGAGTCCTTAATAAACATAAGATAATTCATACTAAAGAGAGACAATTGAAATGCAATACATGCGGGCGAACCTTCAGATATTACTCATGTCTTATGAGACATCAGAGAATGCATGCTAATGAGAAACCCTATAAATGTAATGAATGTGGGAAATGCTTTAGGCAAAGGGGAATCCTGAAGACACATCAAATAAGTCATACTAGAGAAAACCATTTGGAATGTAATCTGTGTGGGAAAGGCTTTAGATACCGTGCGTCCCTTAGGGTACACAAGAAACTGCATAGTGGAGAAAAACCTTACATATGTAATGAATGTGGGAAAGCCTTTAGCCTCAAGGGAAACCTTAAAAGTCATGAGAGAATCCATACAGGTGAGATGTCTTTTGAATGTAATGAATGTGGAAGGGCATTTATTCTGAGGAGAGCTCTCAATAGACATAAGAGAGTTCATAGTGCAGAGAAACCCTACATATGTAATGAATGTGGGAAAGCCTTCAGGTGGTGTACAAACCTTAAAACACATAAGAGGACTCATACTGGAGAGAAACCCTATAAATGTGATGAATGTGGGAAAGCATACACTGATCATCAAAGTCTAATTCGTCATCAACTGTTTCATGCTGGAGATAAAACCTTTCAATGTGATGAATGTGGGAAAGTCTTTACCCACAAGGCAAACCTTAAACGACATAAGAGGTCTCATTCTGGAGAAAAACCCTACATATGCAATCAATGTGGGAAAGCTTTTATTGCAATGGAAAACCTGAAAAGACATATGAGAATTCATACTGGAGAGAAACCCTATAAATGTAATGACTGTGGGAAAGCCTTCACCAGTCATCAGAGCCTAAATAATCATCAGGTATTTCACACTGGAAAAAAAACCTTTCAGTGCAATGAATGTGATAAAGCCTTTACTACAAGAGCAAACCTTATTATACATAACAGAGTTCATACTGGAGAGAAACCTTATGTGTGTAATGAATGTGGAAAATCATTCAGTGTGAAGAGATCCCTAACACTACATAAAATAACTCATACTGGAGAGAAACCCTTTGAATGTACTGAATGTGGGAAAGCCTTCCGCCAGAAGGGAAGCCTTAAGAGACATAGAAGAATTCATACTGGAGAGAAACCCTATAAATGTAATGATTGTGGGAAAGCCTTCACCAATCAGGAAAGCCTAACTTACCATCATAATCGGGAGAGACCCTTCCAGTGTAGCAAATGTGGAAAAGCCTTCATCCGGAAGGGAAAACTTAATAAAGATGCAATAACAGATACAGAAACAAAACTCAATATCTGTTATAAATGTGAAAGAGCCTTTAACCAGAAGGGAAACCTTAACAGACACAAAATAACTGTAGAGAAACATTCTGAACCTAATTAACATCTTAGTGGATCTTAGGAGGAAGATGAGCCTTAAAATCTCATTCTGCTGCTTAACTCCACTTGGAGCTTGGGAGCCATTATGTAAGAAATGCTTGAACAGGGACAGGCTGATGATCAGGGTTATAACAGGAGCTAGAAGGAGTTTTCTAACCCTAAGTCATATAGGTAACTACACCATGGACTTGAACTCATCATGAGACTCCAGTTGAAAGGAAAAACTTAAGTCTGGGGAATTCAAGTGGCTTTTGCTAGTTCCCCCAGATGGTTGTGGTGTGTCATAATCCCAAGCTGGGTGCTTCAAGAGCATCAGCCTGACCTTTCCAGGGAAGGGCTTCTGAACTCTGCACTCCGGGAGATGGGAAGAGCATAGTAGGTAGCTCTTAGTGGCTGAAGTTCATTCAGAGTGCATGTCAGTAGCACTAAGGTGTCGGAGACAACACAGGCCAGGCTTGACATGATAACCAGCAGAGGTGATGTGGTGCATGGTGGAAGGCAGACTGCACCCAACAGAGAATAGTTTGGTTGAATGTCAGCCATTCTATAATAATATTGGAGATGTGAGTCCCTCAAGCCTCACATGTGCCATGTCCACATCAGTACTTCATGTGTTTCCCTTAACCCGTTCCCATGTTCTCTGTGTGTGTCTTTTATGTGTTTCTTGATCATATGTGTGGATAGATAGAGTCATGGGTGTATGCTCAGAAAAAATTGAGTTCACGTCTGGCCTCAGACACTAGAGGTGGCCCTGGGCATTGCTTAACTTGTCTGCCTCAATTTCCTCATCTGTAAAATGCAGATAAATAATTGCATCTACCTCCCAGGGTTGTTTTCTGAGGATCAAGTGAGATAATAATTGTAAGTGTTTAGGCGACCTTGTGGCACATCATAAGTACTACATAAATAAATGTGAGTTATTATTGTTATTTATTATTATTGTTTTATGTTTTCTGCTTGTGTGTTCTTCCCAACTGCTACTGTGGTAACCTGTGGGAAAATGTACCCCATGTGTGCATGGGGTCTCTTATTGCATTATTTACCATGCTACTTGATTAAATATCTTTTTTTTAATGTGTCTTTGGACTTACTGGTAATATAAACAATTTAGGGGCATATGAGCTATGTTTTTGAGTGAATACTGATCCACAGGGTCCCTCAAACCTAGGATAAGGTTTCTGGGGTTCATATTAGAGCAGGTAGGGAATATATTAGAGGAAATCATACTGACAGTAGAGTTGTTAAGTGGATTAGACTGCCCCAGGAGCTTAGTGGGTTCCTCACCAATGATAGTTTTAAGTGGTAGTTGGATAATTACCTGTCATATTACAGAGGGTATTCCCATTTAAGTATGAGTTGGACCAAATAATCTTAAGGCACCTTCCTAACTTGTATTAAAAGAGATACTTGGATCTTGAAATACTTGTAACTTGGATTAAATGAGATAACGTTTGTGAAAAACAAAAGAAAACAGGACAGTGCCTGACACAAAGTAGGCACTGACTTGGTTTGAACATTGATGGTACATTGTAAAGAAAGTTGCTGCTTTAATACCAATATCTGCGTGAGAATGACAGCTTTCCATATAACAGCAAAATTTCATTGAAAAACCCAAGCTGAAAAAAAAAAGTCCTATGAAAAAGAAAATTGGACACACCAAATGTTTATGTGGAGGGGTATCTAAAGTTCCCGATGCCAGCCCTTTATAAGTCAGCCTTTAAAAATAGAAATAGGAACCCATGTGGGGGGGGGAAAAAAACCTACAACACTTTTCAAGTGCTTGAATGACTGCAGTAAGGGAAGGTCCCTGAGAAGTCATTCAGGATAGTCACTGGAAGCCAATGTTGTCAAAGTCAAATGGAGATGGCATATTGACTTAGAAAAATAAATTAACATCAGCTATGTTGTATATTTATTTTGTTAAACATTTACCAGTTGTTTTTCTCGGTGCTGGGGAAGGGGTTGCCTTTGACTCTTCTGCTTCGAGGTAAAGGAGCAAGTGCTTTTGGTAACCTTTGTTCTGGTTGTGCTCTTTGGACACTATGGCGGAAATAGTCTCTGCTGGAGAACAAACTAGTTATGCAAAATATGTACTGCAGTTCTTAGCAGCTCACAAAGTTAGTTTTAAATGATCCAGGCACCACCTAAGAGCAGGTGGTAGTAAAGAAAATGCCATATGTGGGAAGGGAGGAGGGAGGGAAAGATACATATGTCCATTTTCTTCTCCATCATGATCTATAAAAGGAAGACTAAGCCATGTGGTTATTCAAAGTGCTGCAAAGGCTGAGGTTGTACAATCTGCACCTTGCTTAGTATTAACTTGCTTCAGTAGTCAATACCCCTCTAATTGCTGAGATGAAGCTTTTCTTGTTTTGATATGCTGGGAAAATTTGGCAAAGTACCAGGAAACATCTATAAGTTATTGAGTGAATTGAGAAGAGATGGATTTGATAAATTAGAGCGAGCATGGAGTTCTAGCCTAACTCTCTGAGAAGGAACTGTTTGGGAAGGAGGGTAAAGAGATGCCTCAGCTTCAGCCTTGGAAAAGCCTCCTTCACATTCCACTCCACACCCACTCCCTTTGATGGTAACACGTGGTGCTGGAGATGGTGGACACAATGCCTCTAATTTGAAATGCAAATATACTTATTACTGTTATCTTCCTCAGCGACTGATCCAAGATGTAGGAATGTAGCAGAAGAGAGCAGTCTCCTCACAATCTCCACTAGAAACAACAAAGAAAAAGAAAATGGTTGAAACCAATAAGAAATCCAACCCAAATGCAATATGAGGAGAGTGAAGACATAGAAGAAATGCTGTGGTCCACTTAATCAGCCTCAGTGTCAGAAGCAATAGAGATGGGAAAAGAAACTATAAAATGTCCCTATAGACAGCCCCAAATGTATAAACAGTAGATGAGATCAATGCTAATTAGTAGATGACCATGAGAACTCCTTATTGGGACCAATCTTCTTATGGAGCTATACAAATGTTCGGGCCCCTTGCTGGGTCCTATCATTGTTGCTCCATGAATGGGTACTTGAGTCAAAGGTGATTGGCCAGTGAGAGAATTGAAGTGATTAGGACACCAGGTGCTTAATTGTGGGAACTGAGTGAACAACACTGACTCCATCTTGTGACTCAGTTCTGGAGCTAGCCCAGTTCCCTGTCTCCTCAGAGGTCTAGTCCAAATTCTGTTCCGTGAGAAAACTTTCTTCATTTGTGGGAACTGGGAGAAAACCTTATTGCATTGTTTGAACCTTGCCCTGTATGGCTGGGAAACTGGACCACCTCTCTCTGCTGCTTAGAGACCCTTAACCAAGGACCTAGGTTATGCTAACCAGAAACCCAGTCAGACCCAAAGACTGATGCGAGAAGTTTTCTCACAATTGTACATCAAGCAACCCATATGGACCTGTACTGATCAATCAGTTATTGTTTCCATGTTCCTTTAATTGTTCACAGACATGGCGGAAGCGGGACAATTTCCTCAATTATACATGACACCTTTCAAAAAGGGATCATGTCTTAGACATAAAAACCTCACTAAGAAACAGGGAAAAAATATACACACATACACATATATGATATATATGTATATCCTTTACTGATCACAATGACATAAAATTATACTAAATATATGGCCAGTGGAAAAGGTATTAAAAATTAACTGGGGACAAAATAAGAATCCTAAAGAATTGTTAGGCCAAAGAACAAATCATAGAAATGAGCAATAATTTCATTAGAGATAATGACAACAATGAGACAACCAATCAAAATTTTGGGGATGTAGCCAAAGCAGTCCTTAAGGGAAAATGTATATCTCTAAACTCTCATTAACAAAAGGAGAAAGCACAGATCAATGAATTGAAAACACAACTAAAAATACTAGAAAACCAACATATCTTTAAAAATTAGACACCAAATTGGAAATCCTCAAAAATTAAAGAATTTGTAAAATTTAAAAAATGAAGATTAATAAATCAAACTAGAAATTGCTTTTTTGGAGAAAGCACAATAAAATAGATAAATGATTAGCACTTTGATTAAAAAGAAATGGAAAAGTAATATCAAAGCTTTTTTAAAAATTCACAATAAGTGAAGAAATAAAATATATTCGAGACTTTTTTTTACCCACCTCTATGCTACAAAACCTGCACTTTAAAATGAAATTGATGAATATTTACAAAAAATATAAACTACTAAAATTAGCTTCTAAGGAGCAGTGGAAGCCCCTCTCATTAAACCATGAGTTCTAAACCTCTTTGGTGTCACAGATTCTTTGGCAGTCAATGGGGTCTTTCTCAGAATGTTTTTAAATGCATAAAACAAAATACATAAGACTGCAAAGGAAACTTTTTTCCCATCCAAGTCCAGAGACTCATTGAATTAAGTTCATGGACCCCTGAGGGTCCATGACCCCCTTAGGGGTCAGTGAAACCCAGGTTAAGAACCTCTGCATTAAGCTAATTGCAGAATACTCAGCATCAAATTTGGGGGTCACTCCAGGTTTCCTCGGAAATCAGATCACTGTAGAAACCCACTCCCAGATCTGCTCTTGGCCTGCTTTTTCCTCCTCACTTGGCTCTGCCCCTGTTGTTTCAGCTCTTTTTCCTTTCTTGTGGTTGTAATGCTAAGAGGGACGTCTGATTCTCCCTTCTAGTGGTTTCCAAGTATAGCTTGTTCATAGTTTGGGCTATAAGAGATTCTATGGCTCTTCACTGCTTGCTCACCACTAGGGCAATGATGGAATTGAACTCAACATGAGGGCCCTTTAAAAAAGACTGCTCCCAGGGCAGTGGGAAGCAGACAAGGGAAGGGAACAGTAATCTATTAAGCACCTACTACGTGCCAGGCACTGTGCTAAGAGCTTTACCAATATCTCATTTGTGGTAAATAAATCTATGGAAAAACAGGTACATTAATGCACTGTTGGTGAACCTGTGAACCTGTCCAGCTATTTTGCAAAGCAATTTGGAATTATGCCCCCCAAGCTATTAAACCATATGTATCTTTCAGCACAGTAACACAACTACTAGGTTTATAGCCTCAAAGAAATCCAGAGGAAAAGAAACCCTATATCCTAAAGTATTTATAGAAGCTCTTTTTTTGGTTGAAAAGAATAGAAAGCTGAGGTGATGCCCATCATTTGGGAAATGGCTGAACGAGTTCT